GTGTCACTGTGTCTGTGTGCTGTGTGTGTGTGCTGTGTGTGTCACTGTGTGTGTGCTGTGTGTGTCACTGTGTGTCACTGTGTGTGTGTCACTGTGTGTGTGTCTGTGTGTGTCACTGTGTGTGTCACTGTGTGTGTGTCTGTGTGTGTGTGTGCTGTGTGTGTGTCACTGTGTGTGTCACTGTGTGTGTCTGTGTGTGTGCTGTGTGTGTGTCACTGTGTGTGTGCTGTGTGTGTGTGTCACTGTGTCTGTGTGTGTGCTGTGTGTGTGCTGTGTCTGTGTCATTGTGTCTGTGTGTGTGTCACTGTGTGTGTGTCACTGTGTGTGTGTCACTGTGTGTGTGTGTCACTGTGTGTGCCACTGTGTGTGTCACTGTGTGTGTCACTGTGTGTGTGTGCTAAGCGTGTGTGTGTGTGTGCTATGTGTGCTATATATAGGACACATAGCACACCCACCCCCTCTGTGTGTGCCACAGTGCCGGTAGCCTCCATAGGTGGTGGTCGCTAACAGCACTTGCCCCTACAGCCCTGCTAGAGGCTACCTGGGGGAGCTTTGTCTGTGTGTGCATCATAGGTGGTGCTACTCGCTACTAGCAGCACTTGCCCCTACAGCCCATCTAGAGGCTACCTGGAGGAGCTTTGTGTGTGTGTGTGCTACATGTGTGTGTGTGCTACATGTGTGTGTGCGCTACATGTGTGTGTGTGTTACACGTGTGTGTGTGTGTGCTACACGTGTGTGTGCTACATGTGTGTGTGTGCTACATGTGTGTGTGTGTGCTACATGTGTGTGTGTGTGTGTGCTACATGTGTGTGTGTGCTACATGTGTGTGTGTGTGCTACATGTATGTGTGTGTGCTACATGTGTGTGTGTGCTACATGTGTGTGTGTGTGCTACATGTGTGTGTGTGCTACATGTGTGTGTGTGTGCTACATGTGTGTGTGTGTGCTACATGTGTGTGTGTGTGTGCTACATGTGTGTGTGCTAGATGTGTGTGTGTGTGTGCTACATGTGTGTGTGTGTGTTACATGTGTGTGTGTGTGCTACATGTGTGTGTTACATGTGTGTGTGTGCTACATGTGTGTGTGTGCTACACGTGTGTGTGTGTGCTACATGTGTGTGTGCTAGATGTGTGTGTGTGTGTGCTACATGTGTGTGTGCTACATGTGTGTGTGTGTGCTACATGTGTGTGTGTGCTACATGTGTGTGTGCTACATGTGTGTGTGTGCTACATGTGTGTGTGCTACATGTGTGTGTGTGTGTGTGCTACACGTGTGTGTGCTACATGTGTGTGTGTGTGTGTGCTACATGTGTGTGTGTGTGCTACATGTGTGTGTGTGCTACACGTGTGTGTGTGCTACACGTGTGTGTGTGTGTGTGTGCTACATGTGTGTGTGTGTGCTACATGTGTGTGTGTGTGTTACATGTGTGTGTGTGCTACATGTGTGTGTTACATGTGTGTGTGTGCTACATGTGTGTGTGTGTGCTACATGTGTGTGTGTGCTACATGTGTGTGTGCTACATGTGTGTGTGTGCTACATGTGTGTGTGCTACATGTGTGTGTGTGTGTGTGCTACACGTGTGTGTGCTACATGTGTGTGTGTGTGTGTGCTACATGTGTGTGTGTGTGCTACATGTGTGTGTGTGCTACATGTGTGTGTGTGCTACACGTGTGTGTGTGTGTGTGTGCTACATGTGTGTGTGTGTGCTACATGTGTGTGTGTGTGCTACATGTGTGTGTGTGCTACATGTGTGTGTGTGTGCTACATGTGTGTGTGTGCTACATGTGTGTGTGTGCTACACGTGTGTGTGTGTGCTACATGTGTGTGTGTGTGTGCTACATGTGTGTGTGCTACATGTGTGTGTGTGTGCTACATGTGTGTGTGTGTGTGCTACATGTGTGTGTGCTAGATGTGTGTGTGTGTGTGCTACATGTGTGTGTGTGTGTTACATGTGTGTGTGTGTGCTACATGTGTGTGTTACATGTGTGTGTGTGCTACATGTGTGTGTGTGCTACACGTGTGTGTGTGTGCTACATGTGTGTGTGCTAGATGTGTGTGTGTGTGTGCTACATGTGTGTGTGCTACATGTGTGTGTGTGTGCTACATGTGTGTGTGTGCTACATGTGTGTGTGCTACATGTGTGTGTGTGCTACATGTGTGTGTGCTACATGTGTGTGTGTGTGTGTGCTACACGTGTGTGTGCTACATGTGTGTGTGTGTGTGCTACATGTGTGTGTGCTAGATGTGTGTGTGTGTGTGCTACATGTGTGTGTGTGTGTTACATGTGTGCTACATGTGTGTGTGCTACATGTGTGTGTGTGTGTGCTACATGTGTGTGTGTGTGTTACATGTGTGCTACATGTGTGTGTGCTACATGTGTGTGTGTGTGTGCTACATGTGTGTGTGTGTGCTACATGTGTGTGTGTGTGCTACATGTGTGTGTGTGTGTTACATGTGTGTGTGTGTGCTACATGTGTGTGCTACATGTGTGTGTGTGCTACATGTGTGTGTGTGCTACATGTGTGTGTGTGCTACATGTGTGTGTGTGTGCTACATGTGTGTGTGTGTGTGCTACATGTGTGTGTGTGTGTGCTACATGTGTGTGTGTGTGTGCTACATGTGTGTGTGCTACATGTGTGTGTGTGTGTGCTACATGTGTGTGTGCTACATGTGTGTGTGTGTGTGCTACATGTGTGTGTGTGTGTTACATGTGTGCTACATGTGTGTGTGCTACATGTGTGTGTGTGTGCTACATGTGTGTGTGTGTGCTACACGTGTGTGTGCTACATGTGTGTGTGTGTGTGCTACATGTGTGTGTGTGCTACATGTGTGTGTGTGTGTGCTACATGTGTGTGTGTGTGTTACATGTGTGCTACATGTGTGTGTGCTACATGTGTGTGTGTGTGCTACATGTATGTGTGTGTGCTACATGTATGTGTGTGTGCTACATGTATGTGTGTGTGTGCTACATGTGTGTGTGTGTGTGCTACATGTGTGTGTGTGCTACATGTGTGCTACATGTGTGTGTGTGTGTGCTACATGTGTGTGTGTGCTACATGTGTGTGTGTGCTACATGTGTGTGTGTGTGTGCTACATGTGTGTGTGTGTGTGCTACATGTGTGTGTGTGTGCTACATGTGTGTGTGTGTGTGCTACATGTGTGTGTGTGTGTGCTACATGTGTGTGTGTGTGTGCTACATGTGTGTGTGTGTGTGCTACATGTGTGTGTGTGCTACATGTGTGTGTGTGTGTGCTACATGTGTGTGTGTGTGCTACATGTGTGTGTGTGCTACATGTGTGTGTGTGTGTGCTACATGTGTGTGTGTGTGTGCTACATGTGTGTGTGTGTGCTACATGTGTGTGTGCTACATGTGTGTGTGTGTGTGCTACATGTGTGTGTGTGCTACATGTGTGTGTGTGTGTGTTACATGTGTGTGTGCTACATGTGTGTGTGTGCTACATGTGTGTGTGTGCTACATGTGTGTGTGTGTGTGCTACATGTGTGTGTGTGTGCTACATGTGTGTGTGCTACATGTGTGTGTGTGTGTGCTACATGTGTGTGTGTGCTACATGTGTGTGTGTGCTACATGTGTGTGTGCTACATGTGTGTGTGTGTGTGCTACATGTGTGTGTGTGCTACATGTGTGTGTGTGTGCTACATGTGTGTGTGTGTGTGTTACATGTGTGTGTGCTACATGTGTGTGTGTGCTACATGTGTGTGTGTGTGTGCTACATGTGTGTGTGTGTGCTACATGTGTGTGTGCTACATGTGTGTGTGTGTGTGCTACATGTGTGTGTGTGCTACATGTGTGTGTGTGTGTGTTACATGTGTGTGTGTGTGTTACATGTGTGCTACATGTGTGTGCTACATGTGTGTGTGTGTGCTACATGTGTGTGTGTGCTACACGTGTGTGTGTGTGCTACATGTGTGTGTGTGTGTGCTACATGTGTGTGTGTGTGCTACATGTGTGTGTGTGCTACATGTGTGTGTGTGCTACATGTGTGTGTGTGTGTTACATGTGTGCTACATGTGTGTGTGTGCTACATGTGTGTGTGTGTGTTACATGTGTGCTACATGTGTGTGTGTGCTACATGTGTGTGTGTGTGCTACATGTGTGTGTGTGCTACATGTGTGTGTGTGCTACATGTGTGTGTGTGCTACACGTGTGTGTGTGTGCTACATGTGTGTGTGTGCTACATGTGTGTGTGTGCTACATGTGTGTGTGTGCTACATGTGTGTGTGTGTGTGTGCTACATGTGTGTGTGTGTGTGCTACATGTGTGTGTGTGCTACATGTGTGTGTGTGTGTGCTACATGTGTGTGTGTGTGTGCTACATGTGTGCTACATGTATGTGTGTGTGCTACATGTGTGTGTGTGCGCTAAGTGTTGTGGCAGTGGCGGTGTTACGATGTGGTGCCTGGTGCTTGATGATGGTGGTGGTGGATGATGGTGGTGGATGATGATGGTGGTGGTGGTGGATGATGTTGATGATGTTGATGGTGGTGGATGATGATGGTGGTGGTGGTGGATGATGGTGGTGGATGATGATGGTGGTGGTGGATGATGGAGGATGAACAAGATGATGGTGGATGATAATTATGGTGGATGATAATGATGGTGGATGATGATGGTGGTGGATGATGATGGTGGTAGATGATGATGATGGAGGATGATGATGATGGAGGATGATGATCATGATGGTGGATGTTGATGATGGTGGATGTTTATGGTGCATGTTGATGATGGTGGATGATGATGGTGCATGTTGATGATGGTGGATGATGATGATGATGGTGGATGATGATGATGATGGATGTTGATGATGGTGGTGTTTGTTGATGATGATGATGGATGATGGTGGATGTTGATGATGGTGGATGATGTTGATGATGATGATGGTGGATGTTGTTGATGATGTTGATGATGATGGTGGTGGATGATGGATGATGATGGTGGTGGTGGTTGTGGTCGTGCTGCTGCTGCTGGATGGTTGAACCCCACCTTGGAGTTCTCGCTCACAGACAGCACGTAGTCCCCGGGGCAGGTGGTGCTGTCCCTGACGAGGAAGAGGCCGTGCCGCTGTCCCTGCAGGCGACTCTGCGCCTCCGAGCGCCCCATCTGCCGGTAGTACCACAGGCCCGAGTCGCTCGACTCGAAGCTGCCCGCCATGGCCGCCGCTACCGCCGCCGCTGTGGGCTACGGCCCTGCCTCTCCCTCCACACACTCCCTCTCGTTAGTCTCTCTCTCTACACCCTCCCTCCCTCTCTCTAGCCCCTCTCTCCCTCTACACACTCCCTCTCGTTAGTCTCTCTCCCTCTACACACTCCCTCTCGTTAGTCTCTCTCCCTCTACACACTCCCTCTCGTTAGTCTCTCTCCCTCTACACACTCCCTCTCGTTAGTCTCTCTCCCTCTACACCCTCCCCCTCTCCCTCTACACACTCCCTCTCGTTAGTCTCTCTCCCTCTACACACTCCCTCTCGTTAGTCTCTCTCCCTCTACACACTCCCCCTCTCCCTCTACACACTCCCTCTCGTTAGTCTCTCTCCCTCTACACACTCCCTCTCGTTAGTCTCTCTCCCTCTACACACTCCCTCTCGTTAGTCTCTCTCCCTCTACCCTCCCCCTCTCCCTCTACACACTCCCTCTCGTTAGTCTCTCTCCCTCTACACACTCCCTCTCGTTAGTCTCTCTCCCTCTACCCACCCCCTCTCCCTCTACACACTCCCTCTCGTTAGTCTCTCTCCCTCTACACACTCCCTCTCGTTAGTCTCTCTCCCTCTACCCTCCCCCTCTCCCTCTACACACTCCCTCTCGTTAGTCTCTCTCCCTCTACACACTCCCTCTCGTTAGTCTCTCTCCCTCTACACACTCCCTCTCGTTAGTCTCTCTCCCTCTACACACTCCCTCTCGTTAGTCTCTCTCCCTCTACACACTCCCTCTCGTTAGTCTCTCTCCCTCTACACACTCCCTCCCTCTCTCCCTCTACACACTCCCTCTCGTTAGTCTCTCTCCCTCTACACACTCCCTCTCGTTAGTCTCTCTCCCTCTACACACTCCCTCTCGTTAGTCTCTCTCTCTACACCCTCCCTCCCTCTCTCTAGCCCCTCTCTCCCTCTACACACTCCCTCTCGTTAGTCTCTCTCCCTCTACACACTCCCTCTCGTTTTCTCTCTCTCTACACCCTCCCTCCCTCTCTCTACCCCCTCTCTCCCTCTACACACTCCCTCCCCCTCTCCCTCTACACACTCCCTCTCGTTAGTCTCTCTCCCTCTACACACTCCCTCTCGTTAGTCTCTCTCTCTACACCCTCCCTCCCTCTCTCTAGCCCCTCTCTCCCTCTACACACTCCCTCTCGTTAGTCTCTCTCCCTCTACACACTCCCTCTCGTTAGTCTCTCTCTCTACACCCTCCCTCCCTCTCTCTACCCCCTCTCTCCCTCTACACACTCCCTCCCCCTCTCCCTCTACACACTCCCTCTCGTTAGTCTCTCTCCCTCTACACACTCCCTCTCTTTAGTCTCTCTCTCTACACCCTCCCCCTCTACACACTCCCTCTCGTTAGTCTCTCTACACACTCCCTCTCGTTAGTCTCTCTACACACTCCCTCTCGTTAGTCTCTCTACACACTCCCTCCCCCTCTCTCTACCCCTCTCTCTACACCCTCTCTCTCTCTCTACCCTCCCTCTCTCTCTACACACTCCCTCTCGTTAGTCTCTCTCTCTCTACACACTCCCTCCCCCTCTCTCTACCCCTCTCTCTCTACACCCTCTCTCTCTCTAGTCTCTCTCTACACACTCCCTCCCTCTCTCTACCCTCCCCCTCTCTCTACACCCTCTCTCTCTTTAGTCTCTCTAGCCTCCCCCTCTCTCTCTACACACTCCCTCTCTCTCTCTAGCCTCTCTCTACACCCTCCCTCTCTCTCTACACCCTCTCTCTCTAGTCTCTCTCTCTCTACCCTCCCTCTCTCTCTAGTCTCTCTCTCTAGTCTCTCTCTCTCTACCCTCCCTCTCTCTCTCTAGTCTCTCTCTAGCCTCTCTCTCTACCCCCTCCCTCCCTCTCTCTAGCCTCTCTCTCTCTAGTCTCTCTCTCTAGTCTCTCTCTCTAGTCTCTCTCTCTAGTCTCTCTCTCTAGTCTCTCTCTCTCTAGTCTCTCTCTAGTCTCTCTCTCTAGTCTATCTCTCTAGTCTCTCTCTCTCTAGTCTCTCTCTCTAGTCTCTCTCTCTCTAGTCTCTCTCTCTAGTCTATCTCTCTAGTCTCTCTCTCTAGTCTCTCTCTACCCCCCTCCCTCTCTCTCTCTAGTCTCTCTCTCTAGTCTCTCTCTCTAGTCTCTCTCTCTAGTCTCTCTCTCTACCCCCTCTCTCTCTCTCTAGTCTCTCTCTCTCTAGTCTCTCTCTCTCTACCCTCCCTCTCTCTCTCTAGTCTCTCTCTCTCTAGTCTCTCTCTCTCTAGTCTCTCTCTAGCCTCTCTCTCTACCCCCTCCCTCCCTCTCTCTAGCCTCTCTCTCTCTAGTCTCTCTCTAGTCTCTCTCTCTAGTCTCTCTCTCTAGTCTCTCTCTCTCTAGTCTCTATCTCTCTAGTCTCTCTCTCTCTAGTCTCTCTCTCTAGTCTCTCTCTCTAGTCTCTCTCTCTCTAGTCTCTCTCTCTCTAGTCTCTCTCTCTCTAGTCTCTCTCTCTCTAGTCTCTCTCTCTAGTCTCTCTCTCTAGTCTCTCTCTCTAGTCTCTCTCTCTCTAGCCTCTCTCTCTCTAGTCTCTCTCTCTAGTCTCTCTCTCTCTAGTCTCTCTCTAGTCTCTCTCTCTCTAGTCTCTCTCTCTCTAGTCTCTCTCTAGTCTCTCTCTAGTCTCTCTCTCTAGTCTCTCTCTCTCTAGTCTCTCTCTAGTCTCTCTCTAGTCTCTCTCTCTCTAGTCTCTCTCTCTCTAGTCTCTCTCTCTCTCTAGTCTCTCTCTCTACCCCCTCTCTCTCTACCCCCTCTCTCTCTACCCCCTCTCTCTCTACCCCCCTCTCTCTCTACCCCCTCTCTCTACCCCCTCTCTCTCTACCCCCTCTCTCTCTACCCCCCTCTCTCTCTACCCCCTCTCTCTCTACTCCCTCTCTCTCTACCCCCCCTCTCTCTCTACCCCCTCTCTCTCCACCCGCTCTCTCTACCCCCTCTCTCTCTACCCCCCCTCTCTCTACCCCCCCTCTCTCTACCCCCTCTCTCTCTACCCCTCTCTCTCTCTACCCCCTCTCTCTACCCCCTCTCTCTCTACCCCTCTCTCTACCCCCTCTCTCTATACCCCTCTCTCTCTACCCCCCTCTCTCTCTACCCCCCTCTCTCTACCCCCCTCTCTCTCTACCCCTCTCTCTCTCTACCCCCTCTCTCTACCCCCTCTCTCTCTCTACCCCCCTCTCTCTCTACCCCTCTCTCTCTCTACCCCCTCTCTCTACCCCCTCTCTCTCTCTACCCCCTCTCTCTACCCCTTCTCTCTCTACCCCCTCTCTCTCTACCCCCTCTCTCTCTACCCCTCTCTCTCTACCCCCCCCTACCCCCTCTCTCTCTACCCCCTCTCTCTCTACCCCCTCTCTCTCTATACCCCCTCTCTCTCTACCCCCTCTCTCTCTACCCCCTCTCTCTCTCTCTACCCCCTCTCTCTCTACCCCCTCTCTCTCTCTCTAACCCCTCTCTCTCTCTACCCCCTCTCTCTCTACCCCCTCTCTCTCTACCCCCTCTCTCTCTACCCTCTCTCTACCCCCTCTCTCTACCCCCCTCTCTCTACCCCCTCTCTCTCCACCCCCTCTCTCTACCCCCTCTCTCTCTACCCCCTCTCTCTCTACCCCCCCTCTCTCTCTACCCCCTCTCTCTCCACCCGCTCTCTCTACCCCCTCTCTCTCTACCCCCCTCTCTCTCCACCCCCTCTCTCTACCCCCTCTCTCTCTACCCCCTCTCTCTCTACCCCCCCTCTCTCTCTACCCCCTCTCTCTCTCTACCCCCCTCTCTCTACCCCCTCTCTCTCTACCCCCTCTCTCTCTCTACCCTCTCTCTCTACCCCCTCTCTCTCTACCCGCTCTCTCTCTCTACCCCCCCTCTCTCTCTCTACCCCCTTTCTCTACCCCCTCTCTCTCTACCCCCCCTCTCTCTCTATACCCCCTCTCTCTCTCTACCCCCTCTCTCTCTACCCCCTCTCTCTCTACCCCCTCTCTCTCTACCCCCTCTCTCTCTACCCCCTCTCTCTACCCCCTCTCTCTCTACCCCCTCTCTCTCTACCCCCTCTCTCTCTACCCCCTCTCTCTACCCCCTCTCTCTCTACCCCCTCTCTCTCTACCCCCTCTCTCTCTACCCCCTCTCTCTCTACCCCTCTCTCTCTACCCCTCTCTCTACCCCCTCTCTCTCTCTACCCCCCCTCTCTCTACCCCCTCTCTCTCTACCCCTCTCTCTCTACCCCCTCTCTCTCTACCCCCTCTCTCTACCCCCTCTCTCTCCACCCTCTCTCTCTACCCTCTCTCTCTACCCCCCTCTCTCTCTACCCCTCTCTCTCTCTCTCCCCTCTCTCTCTGCCCCCTCTCTCTCTACCCCTCTCTCTCTACCCCCTCTCTCTCTCTACCCCCTCTCTCTCTACCCTCTCTCTCTCTCTACCCCCTCTCTCTCTACCCCCTCTCTCTCTCTACCCCTCTCTCTCTACCCCCTCTCTCTCTACCCCCTCTCTCTACCCCTCCCTCTCTCTCTCTACCCCTCTCTCTCTACCCCCCCCTCTCTCTCTCTACCCCCTCTCTCTCTACCCCCTCTCTCTCTTTACCCCTCTCTCTCTACCCCTCTCTCTCTACCCCTCTCTCTCTAACCCCCTCTCTCTCTACCCCCTCTCTCTCTACCCCCTCTCTCTCTACCCCCTCTCTCTACCCTCTCTCTCTCTCTATCCTCTCTCTCTACCCCCTCTCTCTCTACCCCCTCTCTCTCTACCCCCTCTCTCTCTACCCCTCTCTCTCTACCCCCCTCTCCCTACCCCCCTCTCTCTCTCCCCTCTCTCTCTCTCCCCTCTCTCTCTGACCCCTCTCTCTCTACCCCCTCTCTCTCTACCCCCTCTCTCTCTACCCCCCTCTCTCTAACCCTCTCTCTCTACCCCCTCTCTCTCTACCCCTCTCTCTCTCTACCCCCCTCTCCCTACCCCCCTCTCTCTCTCCCCTCTCTCTCTCTCTCCCCTCTCTCTCTGCCTCCCCTCTCTCTCTGCCCCCTCTCTCTCTACCCCTCTCTCTACCCCCTCTCTCTCTACCCCCTCTCTCTCTACCCCTCTCTCTCTACCCCCTCTCACTCTCTACCCCTCTCTCTCTACCCCCTCTCTCTCTACCCCTCTCTCTCTCTCTCTACCCCTCTCTCTCTACCCCTCTCTCTACCCCCTCTCTCTCTACCCCTCTCTCTCTCTACCCCCTCTCTCTCTACCCCTCTCTCTCTACCCCCTCTCTCTCTCTACCCCTCTCTCTCTCTACCCCTCTCTCTACCCCCTCTCTCTCTACCCCCTCTCTCTCTACCCCTCTCTCTACCCCCTCTCTCTCTACCCTCTCTCTCTACCCCCTCTCTCTCTACCCCCTCTCTCTCTACCCCCTCTCTCTCTACCCCCTCTCTCTCTACCCCCTCTCTCTCTCTACCCCCTCTCTCTACCACCTCTCTCTCTACCCCCTCTCTCTCTACCCCTCTCTCTACCCTCTCTCTCTCTACCCCCTCTCTCTACCCCCTCTCTCTCTCTACCCTCTCTCTCTACCCCTCTCTCTCTACCCCCTCTCTCTACCCCCTCTCTCTACCCTCTCTCTCTACCCCTCTCTCTCTACCCCCTCTCTCTCTACCCCCTCTCTCTCTCTACACCCCCTCTCTCTCTACCCCCTCTCTCGCTCTCCCCCCACTCTGTGTGTGTGTGAGGCGACGTTGAGAAGCAGCAGCAGCATTTTTACTTAGAAAATACAATTTATTTGAGATTTCACGACGGTTTCAGGTGGCCGGGTGATGCTTTAGCCGGATTGGTGAGGGAAACTTTGTTGCTGTTGTGTGATTGCGTCGGTTTTAAATCTAATTTGTGTTGTTTGTTGTTGTTGTTTATTTGTTACTTTCCTCCGCCTCTCCTCCCTCCTCACGCCAAGCTGCGGGAATCCTCCATGGGGGCCGAGTTTTCCCGCCCTTTTTTTCACACCCCCCCCACTCCCCTTAACCCCCTCCCTACACTGCCCTGCTCCCATTGGCGCAATTATCATTGCCCCCGCCCATATCTCTTACAGCCACGCCCTCAATTTATTTAACTCCGCCCCATACGGCTTTAGCACCGCCCCCTAATCACGTTAGCCCCGTACCTCGTATCATCCAGTTCCGCCCACAACCCCTTTAGCCACACCCTAATCCCGTTAGCCCAGCCCGCTGTCCCGTTAGCCCCGCCTTTCATATTGTTAAAACCACGCCCACCTTAGCCCATGCCCCGCCCACTTCTCCCCTGACCCCCCTCAAAGACAAAGGTCCCCCAGGTAGCCTTTTGGGGCCAAGTGCAGCCCGTCACGAACACACACACGGACGATAGGGTTTGCTACGGTGTTCACAATCATCTTTATTTAATGCTTATATAATAATATTTTTTCTCCCCTCACAAAGGAATCCGAAGAGCTGTAAAGCTCCGTGTAGTTTTGCTTCACAGGCGTGCCACAATCGACGTTCACTTCGCAACAAAGCGGCTCCTCATTCGGTGGTCGAGTCGCCCCGGAACGGGAAGACGTCTTCCGTTTTCAGCAGCTCGACGCTAAAACGCCGCTGCCGCTTCCGGCAGACGTCTTCCGTATTGTGGAAATGGCCGTCGCTAAAACACCGCTGCCGCTTCCGGCAGAGATCTTCGGTATTCGGAACTAAAACCCCGCTGCCTCTTCCGGAAGACATCTTCTGTGGTCTGCAAGGCGGGTCATTAAAACACCGTCATCCCTTCCGCCCCGCCCACCCACACACCCGCGCCCCGCCCCCCCACACCCGCGCCCCGCCCCCCTGCTCCCCCCACCCCGCCCCCTTATCCACCCCCTTACCCACCCCCCCATTTTTTTTTCCCCCCACACACCCCGACCCCCACCGCGATCTCTCACCCGCCCCTCGTCACGCCACGCCCCCTCCCCCACTACGCCACGCCCCCATGACCCCGCCCCTAACCCCCCCCCCCCCCGTCGCCCGCAATGGCGGCCGTGGTGTTTCTCTCTCGGGCTCTGGGGTCGGAGCAGCTCGGCGCTTGGCGCGGCCGCTGCTGTCGCGGCCGCTTCGCGCCGCCCTGCGCCGTCCCCGCCGCAGCCGCCGCCGCCGCCGCCGCCTCCCTCCGGCTCCACGCTCGCGGCGCCGCCGATGGCGGCGCCGCGGTTCGACAATTTCCCCGTGCGCCGCCGACGCCGCCGACGCCGTCGTTTCCTAGCGGTCCTACCGCTTGGGAAGCACCGCGCTCGGCGAGCCTGAGGGCTTCGGGGCGGTGTAGGCCTCAGACTCCGCCGGCGACCCTGAAATCGGGGCAGACGCTCTCGTTTGTGTCGGCGGAGACGGCGACTACAACGGCAACATCATCAGCAACATCATCATCAGCAACATCATCATCAGCAGCAACATCAGCATCATCGTCAGCAGCATCATCAGCGTATTTGGCATTCTCCTCAGTAACACCACCACCATCAGCATATTTGACATTCTCCTCAGTAACACCACCACCATCATCAGCGTATTTGACATTCTCAGTAACACCACCATCATCATCAGCGTATTTGCCAATCGCCTCAGTAACACCACCATCATCAGCAACAACAACAGCAACAATATCAGGAGCATCAACAACATCAGCAGCATCATCATCATCAGCATCATCAGCAGCGGCATCATCATCATCAGCATCATCTTTGACATTCTCATCAGTAACACCACCATCAGCATCATCACCCACACCATCACCCTTGTTCAAACAACAACACAACCACCATCACCCCTCACGCACGTACCACACCACCACCGTCACGCCACACCGCACATCACCATCAGCATCATCATCAGCATCATCACCAACATCACCATCAGCATCATCACTCTTGTTCAAACAACAACACAACCACCATCACCCCTCACGCACGTACCACACCACCACCATCACGCCACACCACACATCAGCATCATCATCAGCATCATCACCACCAACACCGACGTCCTATTACGACGTCCTCGGCATCTCGGCAGCGGCCACCACGGCCCAGGTGACGGCCGCTTACCACACACACACACAGACACACACTCAGACACACACACACTCAGACACACACACTCAGACACACACTCAGACACACACTCAGACACACACACACTCAGACACACACACTCACTCACCCACTCACCCACCCACTCACCCCCTCACCCTCTCACCCCCTCACCCCCTCACCCACCCACTCACCCACTCACTCACTCACCCTCTCACCCCCTCACCCACTCACCCCCTCACCCACTCACCCACTCACCCCCTCACCCACTCACCCACCCACCCACTCACCCACCCACTCACTCACCCACCCACTCACCCACTCACCCACCCACTCACCCACCCACTCACCCACCCACTCACCCACTCACCCACCCACTCACCCACCCACTCACCCACTCACCCACCCACTCACCCACTCACTCACCCACTCACCCACCCACTCACCCACCCACTCACCCACCCACTCACCCACTCACCCACCCACTCACCCACCCACTCACCCACCCACTCACCCACTCACTCACCCACTCACCCACTCACTCACTCACCCACCCACTCACCCACCCACTCACCCACCCACTCACCCACTCACCCACCCACTCACTCACTCACCCACCCACTCACCCACCCACTCACCCACTCACTCACCCACTCACCCACCCACTCACCCACTCACCCACCCACTCACCCACCCACTCACCCACTCACCCACCCACTCACCCACTCACCCACCCCCTCACCCACCCACTCACCCACCCACTCACCCACCCACTCACCCCCTCACCCTCTCACCCCCTCACCCCCCCACCCCCTCACCCCCTCACCCCTCTCACCCCCTCACCCACCCACTCACCCACCCACTCACTCACCCACCCACTCACCCACTCACCCACCCACTCACCCACCCACTCACCCACCCACTCACTCACTCACCCACCCACTCACCCACCCACTCACCCACTCACCCACCCACTCACCCACTCACCCACCCACTCACCCACCCACTCACCCACCCACTCAACCACCCACTCACCCACTCACCCACCCACTCACCCACCCACTCACCCACCCACTCACCCACTCACCCACTCACTCACTCACCCACCCACTCACCCACCCACTCACCCACCCACTCACCCACTCACCCACCCACTCACTCACTCACCCACCCACTCACCCACTCACCCACCCACTCACTCACTCACCCACCCACTCACCCACCCACTCACCCACCCACTCACCCACCCACTCACCCACCCACTCACCCACCCACTCACCCACCCACTCACCCACTCACTCACTCACCCACCCCCTCACCCTCTCACCCCCTCACCCCCTCACCCTCTCACCCCCTCACCCACCCACTCACCCACTCACCCACCCACTCACCCACCCACCCACTCACCCACTCACCCACCCACTCACCCACTCACCCACCCACTCACTCACCCACTCACTCACCCCCTCACCCACTCACCCCCTCACCCACCCACTCACCCACTCACCCACCCACTCACTCACTCACCCACTCACTCACCCACCCACTCACTCACCCACTCACCCACCCACTCACTCACCCACTCACCCACCCACTCACTCACCCACCCCCTCACCCACTCACCCACTCACTCACTCACCCACCCACTCACCCACCCACTCACCCCTCTCACACCCCCTCTCACCCCCCCTCTCTCACCCCCCTCTCACCCCCCGTGCCCCCCAGGTGAAGGCGGCCTACTACCGCCGGGCGTTCGCCTGCCACCCCGACCGCAACGTGGGCGACGCCGATGCGGCCGCCCGCTTGTGGAGCGTGTCCGAGGCCTACCGCGTGCTGGCCCACCCGGCCCTGCGCAGGCGTTACGACGCCGGCCGGCTCAGCGCCGCCGAGGCGGCCGCGGCCGGGCGGCCGCCTCGCGTGCGGACCGGGGCCAAGGACGGAGGTGGCGGCGGTGGTGGTGGCGGTGGTGGTGGCGGTGGTGGTGCGGGAGGGACGAGGGCGAATAAGGTGCGGAGGGTTGTGGTTCGGTGTTTGTGTGGTGTGTCAGTGTGTGTGTGTGTGTGTGTCGGTGTGTCTGTGTGTGTCGGTGTGTCTGTGTGTGTGTCAGTGTGTGTGTGTGTGTCTGTCGGTGTGTGTGTGTGTGTGTTAGTGTGTGTGTGTGTTAGTGTGTGTGTGTGTGTTTGTCGGTGTGTGTGTCGGTGTGTGTGTCGGTGTGTGTGTGTGTGTCGGTGTGTGTGTGTGTGTCAGTGTGTGTGTGTGTGTCTGTGTGTGTGTGTGTGTGTCGGTGTGTCTGTGTGTGTCGGTGTGTGTGTGTGTGTGTCTGTCGGTGTGTGTGTGTGTCTGTCGGTGTGTGTGTGTGTTAGTGTGTGTGTGTGTGTTTGTCGGTGTGTGTGTCGGTGTGTGTGTCGGTGTGTGTCTGTGTCGGTGTGTGTGTGTCGGTGTGTGTGTGTGTCAGTGTGTGTGTGTGTGTGTGTCTGTCGGTGTGTGTGTGTGTCTGTCGGTGTGTGTGTGTGTTAGTGTGTGTGTGTGTGTGTTTGTCGGTGTGTGTGTCGGTGTGTGTCTGTGTCGGTGTGTGTGTGTCGGTGTGTGTGTGTCTGTGTGTGTCGGTGTGTGTGTGTCGGTGTGTGTGTCTGTGTGTGTGTGTGTCGGTGTATGTGTGTGTGTGTCGGTGTGTGTGTGTGTGTCTGTGTGTGTCTGTGTGTGTCGGTGTGTGTGTCTGTGTGTGTGTGTCGGTGTATGTGTGTGTGTGTCTGTGTGTGTGTGTGTACGTGTGTGTGTGTCTGTGTGTGTGTGTCAGTGTGTGTGTGTGTGTGTGTCAGTGTGTGTGTGTGTGTCTCTGTGTGTGTGTATGTCTGTGTGTGTCGGTGTGTCTGTGTGTGTGTGTGTCAGTGTGTGTGTGTGTGTGTCTGTCGGTGTGTGTGTGTGTGTGTTAGTGTGTGTGTGTGTGTTAGTGTGTGTGTGTCGGTGTGTGTTTGTGTGTGTGTCTGTGTGTGTGTGTGTGTCGGTGTGTGTGTGTGTGTGTCAGTGTGTGTGTGTGTCGGTGTGTGTGTGTGTCAGTGTGTGTGTGTGTGTCTGTCGGTGTGTGTGTGTGTCAGTGTGTGTGTGTGTGTCTCTGTGTGTGTGTGTGTGTCGGTGTGTGTGTGTGTCTCTGTGTGTGTTTGTCGGTGTGTGTGTGTGTCGGTGTGTGTGTGTGTCGGTGTGTGTGTGTCTGTGTGTGTGTGTCTGTGTGTGTGTGTGTCTGTGTGTGTGTGTCTGTGTTAGTGTCTGTGTGTGTGTCTGTGTGTGTGTCTGTGTGTGTGTGTGTGTCTGTGTGTATGTCTGTGTGTGTGTGTCGGTGTGTGTGTCTGTGTGTGTCGGTGTGTGTGTGTGTGTGTGTCGGTGTGTGTGTGTGTCGGTGTGTGTGTGTGTCGGTGTGTGCTATCATAGGCCTTGACCTGGTCAAGGCCTATGATACCATCAGTAGGCCTGGGCTCTGGGTTGTTCTTCGTGCTTTTGGAGTACCTGACCCTCTGCTCACGATCATTAAGGACCTTCATGATGGTGAGCGGGCCCTGGTAAAACTACGTTGCCGGGAGTCAGAGCCATTCCCTGTACACCTTGGGGTGCGACAGGGATGTCCTCTGGCTCCCACATTATTTAACATCTATTTTGACCACGTAGCTCGTGAAGCCTTCAATAGCTGTACCAGAGCAATTTCCATTTGGTACAGATATAATGGGAGGCTGATCGATGCCCGGGTGCGGTCAAGGGATTACTTAACACGTTATGTATGCTGATGATTTGGTAATAGCTGCTCATTCAGAGGAGGAGTTGGAGACGCTGCTGCTGAGACTGGAGTGTGCCAATAAGAGGTGGGGCCTTACCATCAGCCCCACCAAAACTAAGCACCTGCCTGGGTATTTTGTACCATCGGACACTCCACCCCCCACAACTCCCAATCGGTGATGGGGCAGTTGTGGAGAGAGTGGAGAGTTTCCCATACCTGGGCAGTGTGCTCATGACCAACTCCGGTTTAACAGCAGAGGTCTCACTCCGAATCAGTCGAGTGGCAATATCTTTTCATCGGTTGCGTAACGCTGTGTGGAAGCTACCTGGTCTGTCGCTCCGCACTAAGCTTCAGGTCTTCTCGGCCACGGTCATTCCCTCCCTTCTCTACACTTGCGATACGTGGACCCCCTTAATGTAAAATCTTCGCCGGTTAGAAACATTTAGGCTGGCCTGCCTACGATCCATCCTGGGTTTAACCAGGCTGGATTGTGTGAGGAGCTCACAAATCCTTGAAAGATCTGGGCAAGGTCCCATCGGTGAGCTCCTCCGGCAGGCAAGGCTACGTTGGCTGGGTCATGTAGCCCGCATGCCCAGCCACCGCATGCCGAAACAGCTTTTGTTCGGCCGGATCGAGGGGGCTAAACGGGCGCGGCACGGGCTAGAGAAGAGATGGAGTGACATGGTACAGGAGGACGTGGAGCTGAGTGGACTTGCCTATGACCGGTACCAGCGGTGTCAAGATCGGCCTCTGTGGAGGAGGCTCGTGAAGGACGCTACTGGGCAGTTGGAGGCAGTCGCCCTCCAACAACAACGGAGGGCGGAGGAGCGACGCTCACAACAACGAGCAGAGCGCCGGGTGGCTAAAGCACAGCAGGTTGGCACAGTAGGGGGCACAGGTGGTGCATCAGCCAGTCATCTCAGTCATCTCAGTCAGTCGACCCGTGGCACCTGGGTCTGCCCCGTGACCTCCTGCCAGCGGGCGTTCGACACTTCACGTGATAGCCTCAAGGTGCACATGGCCTGGCACAAGCATCGTGGTGACGTCACCGCCACTTAGTGGTGAATGGCGGTTGTTGTGTCGGTGTGTATGTGTCGGTGTTTGCCGGGAAAGGTCCTGGCAAGGATTATTCAACATCTCCTTGCCAGGCACGCTGAGGAGAGGCTTGCGGAGGCCCCAATGCGGTTTCAGGAAAGGGTGGTCCTGCACAGATGCCATATTTTATGTCCGTTTGCTACAGCAGAGGTGTAGGGAATTCCAACAAGACCTACATCTCTGCTTTATTGACCTGGTCCATCAGTAGGCCTGGGCTCTGGGTTGTTCTTCGTGCTTTTCGAGTCCCTGACCCTCTGCTCACGATCATTAAGGACCTTCATGATCGTGAGCGGGCCCGGGTAAAACTACGTGGCCGGGAGTCAAAGCCATTCCATGTACACCTTGGGGTGCGACAGGGATGTCCTCTGGCTCCCACATTATTTAACATCTATTTTGACCACGTAGTTCGGGAAGCCTTCGATGGCTTTACCGGTGGAATCTCCATTTGGTACAGATATAATGGGAGGCTGATCGATGCCCGGGTGCGGCCAAGCGATGGCTCCCGATTGCTCAACCACGTTATGTATGCCAATGATTTGGTAATAGCTGCTCATTCAGAGGAGGAGTTGGAGATGCTGCTGCTGAGACTGGAGCGTGCCACTAAGAGGTGGGGCCTTACCATCAGCCCCACCAAAACTAAGCACCTGCCTGGGTATTTTGTACCATCGGACACTCCACCCCCACAACTCCCAATCGGTGATGGTGCAGTTGTGGAGAGAGTGGAGAGTTTCCCATACCTGGGCAGTGTGCTTATGACCGGCTCCAGTTTAACAGCAGAGGTCTCACTCCGAATCAGTCGAGCGGCAATATCTTTTCATCGGTTGCGTAACGCTGTGTGGAAGCTACCTGGTCTGTCGCTCCGCACTAAGCTTCAGGTCTTCTCGGCCACGGTCATTCCCTCCCTTCTCTACGCTTGCGAAACGTGGACCCCCCTAATGGATCATCTTCGCCGTTTAGATACATAGAGGCTGGCCTGCCTACGATCCGTCCTAATGAGTACCTGGTGCGGTGTGTGAACATCGCCACTGGGGAGACAAAGGCGGTCGGGCGTGGTGCTGGCCACCCACCCCCTCGTGTACCTTTCCGGCCTTCATAGGTGCTCGCTAACAGCACTTGTCCCAGCAGTCTGTGAAGCCTATATGGGAGATCTTTGTCTGCGTGTGTGTGTCAGCATAGGAGTTGTCACGGTCGGGGGCACAGGTGGTGGTGCATCGGCCGGTCATCTCAGGCAACCCATGGCACCTGCTGGGTCTGTCCCGTGACATCCTGTCAGCGGACGTTTGATACTTCACGTCGCCTTAACCATGCACCTAGCCTGGCACAGGCGCTATGGTGACGTCACCGCCACTCACAATAACAACCGCCATTCGCCACTAAGTGGCGGTGACGTCACCACGATGCTTGTGCCAGGCCATGTGCACCTTGAGGCTATCACGTGAAGTGTCGAACGCCCGCTGGCAGGAGGTCACGGGGCAGACCCAGGTGCCACGGGTCGACTGACTGAGATGAGTGGCTGATGCACCACCTGTGCCCCCTACTGTGCCAACTTGCTCACTCACACACTCACTGACACACACACTCGCTATTACACACTCGCTCTCACGCCCACTCACACACTCTCACACACTCACGCACACTCACACTCTCTCACACTCACTCTCTCTTACACTCAATCACACACTCACTCACACACACTCACTCACTATATCACTCACTCACTATCACACACTCACTCTCACACACACACTCACTCTCACACTCAGTCACACACTCACTATCACTCACTCTCAAACTCAATCACTCACACACTATCACACACTCTCACACACACTCACTCTCACACTCACACACACACTCACTATCACTCACTCTCACACTCAATCACTCACACACTATCACACACTCTCACTCACACGCACACTCTCTCTCACACTATCACACACTATCACACACTCTCACACTCACTCACTCTCTCTTACACTCTCTCTTACACTCACTCTCTCTTACACTCACTCTCTCTTACACTCTCTCTTACACTCTCTCTTACACTCACTCTCTCTTACACTCACTCTCTCTTACACTCTCTCTCTTACACTCACTCTCTCTTACACTCTCTCTTACACTCTCTCTTACACTCTCTCTTACACTCTCTCTTACACTCTCTCTCTCACTCTCTCTTACACTCTCTCTCACACTCTCTCTTACACTCTTACACTCACTCTCTCTCACACTATCACACACTATCACTCACTCTCACACTCACTCACTCTCTCTCACACTCTCTCTTACACTCTCTCTTACACTCACTCTCTCTTACACTCTTACACTCTCTCTTACACTCTCTCTTACACTCTCTCTTACACTCACTCTCTCTCACACTATCACACACTATCACTCACTCTCACACTCACTCACTCTCTCTTACACTCACTCTCTCTTACACTCACTCTCTCTCACACTATCACACACTATCACTCACTCTCACACTCACTCTCTCTTACACTCACTCTCTCTTACACTCACTCTCTCTCACACTATCACACACTATCACTCACTCTCACACTCACTCTCTCTTACACTCACTCTCTCTTACACTCACTCTCTCTTACACTCTTACACTCTCTCTTACACTCTCTCTTACACTCTCTCTTACACTCACTCTCTCTCACACTATCACACACTATCACTCACTCTCACACTCACTCACTCTCTCTTACACTCACTCTCTCTTACACTCACACTCTCTCTTACACTCACACTCTCTCTTACACTCTCTCTTACACTCACTCTCTCTTACACTCACTCTCTCTTACACTCACACTCTCTCTTACACTCTCTCTTACACTCACTCTCTCTTACACTCACACTCTCTCTTACACTCACACTCTCTCTTACACTCTCTCTTACACTCACTCTCTCTTACACTCACTCTCTCTCTTACACTCTCTCTTACACTCTCTCTTACACTCACTCTCTCTCACACTATCACACACTATCACTCACTCTCACACTCACTCACTCTCTCTTACACTCACTCTCTCTTACACTCACTCTCTCTCACACTATCACACACTATCACTCACTCTCACACTCACTCTCTCTTACACTCACTCTCTCTTACACTCACTCTCTCTCACACTATCACACACTATCACTCACTCTCACACTCACTCTCTCTTACACTCACTCTCTCTTACACTCACTCTCTCTTACACTCTTACACTCTCTCTTACACTCTCTCTTACACTCTCTCTTACACTCACTCTCTCTCACACTATCACACACTATCACTCACTCTCACACTCACTCACTCTCTCTTACACTCACTCTCTCTTACACTCACACTCTCTCTTACACTCACACTCTCTCTTACACTCACACTCTCTCTTACACTCTCTCTTACACTCACTCTCTCTTACACTCACACTCTCTCTTACACTCTCTCTTACACTCACTCTCTCTTACACTCACACTCTCTCTTACACTCACACTCTCTCTTACACTCTCTCTTACACTCACTCTCTCTTACACTCTTACACTCTCTCCCCCTCTCTCCCCGCTCACCCACCCCCCGCTCCAGCCTTGCCCGTTTGACTTTGACGAGTTCTACCGTGCCCACTATGGCGCTGCCCGCGAGGCCGCTCTGCGTGCCAAGCGGCTGCGGGAGCAACGCCACCACCAGCACCAGAACAACCACCAGAACCACCACCACGGTGACCACCACCAGCAGCACCACCACGGGGCGGGAGAGGAGGGAGAGGGGGGAGTGGCCTCGCGTCTCCTCGTGGTGGTGGCCACGCTGGGCGCGGCAGCGGCCATCGCCTCTCGCTCGGACTCCTGACGGCGGTGACGTCGCCGGGCGTCGCCACCGTCTACGCTGACGTCATCGTCGTCGTCTGCGATGACGTCATCGCCGTCTACGCTGACGTCATCGTCTACGCCGACGTCATCGTCGTCTGCGCTGACGTCATCGTCGTCTGCGCTGACGTCATCGTCGTCGTCTGCGATGACGTCATCGTCGTCTATGCTGACGTCATCATCATCTACGCTGACGTCATCGTCATCGTCTACGCCGACGTCATCGTCGTCTACGCCGACGTCATCGTCGTCTACGCTGATGTCATCATCGTCTACACTGACGTCATCATCGCCGTCGTCGTCATCGTCTATACTGACGTCATCATCATCTACACTGACGTCATCATCGTCTACACTGACGTCATCATCATCTACACTGACATCATCGTCTGTACTGACGTCATCATCGTCTACACTGACGTCATCATCGTCTACACTGACGTCATCATCGCCGTCGTCGTCATCGTCTATACTGACGTCATCATCTACACTGACGTCATCATCATCTACACTGACGTCATCATCATCTACACTGACGTCATCATCATCTACACCCTCGTCATCATCGTCATCTACACTGATGTCACCAGCGTCATCATCATCTACACTGATGTCATCATCATCTACACTGACATCATCACCGTCATCATCTACACTGACGTCATCATCATCTACACTGACGTCATCATCATCTACACTGACGTCATCATCATCTACACTGACGTCATCATCATCTACACTGACGTCATCATCATCTACACTGACGTCATCATCGTCATCTACACTGATGTCGCCAGCGTCATCTACACTGATGTCATCATCATCTACACTGACATCATCACCGTCATCATCTACACTGACGTCATCATCATCTACACTGACGTCATCATCATCCACACTGACGTCATCATCGTCATCTACACTGATGTCGCCAGCGTCATCTACACTGATGTCATCATCATCTACACTGAACATCATCACCGTCATCATCTACACTGACGTCATCATCATCTACACTGACGTCATCATCATCTACACTGACGTCATCATCGTCATCTACACTGATGTCACCAGCGTCATCATCATCTACACATGTCATCATCATCTACACTGACATCATCACCGTCATCATCTACACTGACGTCATCATCATCTACACTGACGTCATCATCGTCATCTACACTGATGTCGCCAGCGTCATCTACACTGATGTCATCATCATCTACACTGACATCATCACCGTCATCATCTACACTGACGTCATCATCATCTACACTGACGTCATCATCATCTACACTGACGTCATCATCGTCATCTACACTGATGTCGCCAGCGTCATCTACACTGATGTCATCATCATCTACACTGACATCATCACCGTCATCATCTACACTGACGTCATCATCATCTACACTGACGTCATCATCATCCACACTGACGTCATCATCGTCATCTACACTGATGTCGCCAGCGTCATCTACACTGATGTCATCATCATCTACACTGACATCATCACCGTCATCATCTACACTGACGTCATCATCATCTACACTGACGTCATCATCATCTACACTGACGTCATCATCGTCATCTACACTGATGTCACCAGCGTCATCATCATCTACACATGTCATCATCATCTACACTGACATCATCACCGTCATCATCTACACTGACGTCATCATCATCTACACTGACGTCATCATCGTCATCTACACTGATGTCGCCAGCGTCATCTACACTGATGTCATCATCATCTACACTGACATCATCACCGTCATCATCTACACTGACGTCATCATCATCTACACTGACGTCTTCATCATCTACACTGACGTCATCATCGTCATCTACACTGATGTCGCCAGCGTCATCATCATCTACACATGTCATCATCACCGTCATCATCTATACTGACGTCATCATCATCTACACTGACGTCATCATCATCATCTACACTGATGTCGCCAGCGTCATCATCATCTACACTGACGTCATCATCATCTACACTGACATCACCGTTATCATCTACACTGACGTCATCATCATCTACACTGACGTCATCATCACCGTCATCTATACCGACGTCATCATCATCTACACTGATGTCGCCAGCGTCATCATCATCTACACTGACATCATCACCGTCATCATCTGCACTGACGTCATCATCTACACTGACGTCATCATCACCGTCATCTATACTGACGTCATCATCTACACTGACATCATCATCATCTACACTGACGCCATCATCGTCATCTACACTGATGTCGCCAGTGTCATCATCATCTACACTGACGTCATCGTCATCTACACTGACGTCATCATCACCGTCATCTACACTGACGTCATCATCATCTACACTGACGTCTTCATCTACACTGACATCACCGTCATCATCTACACTGACGTCATCATCATCTACACTGACGTCATCACCGTCATCTACACTGACGTCATCATCATTTACACTGACATCATCATCTACACTGATGTCGCCAGCGTCATCATCTACACTGACGTCATCTACACTGACGTCATCATCGTCATCTACACTGACGTCATCATCGTCATCTACACTGATGTCGTCATCATCATCTACACTGACGTCATCATCGTCATCTACACTGACGTCATCATCGTCATCTACACTGATGTCGTCATCATCATCTACACCAGGGGTCACCAAACGTCTTTCACAGTGGGCCTGATAACTGATAGAATGGCGAGCGCGGGCCGCACAGCAAATAAATAAATAAATATCCCTGGAGCGCGGGGCCTGTGCTGACAGCTGGGAAATCTGGGGGCGGGAAGGATGCGCGTGTTTGTGTGCGTGTTGCCATGGAAACCACGCTAACGTGTTGCCACGGAAACCATGGTACCGTGTTGCCACGTGACGTTGCCATGGAAACCGCGGCAACGTCAGAGCGTAGGCGGAGCTACCACGAGCCGGGGAAGGAGGACTTGGCATGGCGTGAAATAAGCAGACGTCACGATGAACGAGAACATCTAGACACCATCATGTAACATTATTAAAATAGTACACTTAAGGCGCATAGCAGTGAGGAGGTCTCCGCACGCGTGAAGATCTGCCGAGTATTCTAAACGTAATGTTTAAATTGTATCAACGTGTTGTTTTCCATTCGTTTTATCAACCAAATCCGAGTACCGTCGGCGGGCCTGATGGACTGACGTCACGGGCCGTAGTTTGGTGACGTCATCATATATACTGACGTCATCATATATACTGACGTCATCACCATCATCTATACTGACAATCATCTATACTGACGTCATCACTGTCATCTATACTGACATCATTATGAGACCTCCTTTGCCAGAAACAAGATATAGGAATAGGTTTTTACCCTTTTAACTGGCACAAAAACTGACACCTTTATTCAAGGCATCATGTTTGCAAAAACCACAACACAAGCAGTCAAAATGCAAACAAAAAAGACAACTCTGATAATAATATTGGTAATGTCCTTGAATTTGATTGGTCCACACCCGAGACGGCTTTTCTTAGAGCCCTTAAGTCTCCATTGGTGTTGACCAGAAGACGCCAAAAGGCGTACAACTCAAAAACAGCGCACTATCAGATGATGACGTCAGTATAGATTATATACTGACGTCATCATCTATACTGACGTCATCAGCGTCATCATCATCTATACTGACATCATCACCGTTATCTATACTGACATCTATACTGACGTCATCTATACTGACATCACCGTCATCATCTATAGTATGGATGATTACGTCAGTATAGATTCTATACTGACGTCATCATCTATACTGACGTCACCAGCGTCATCATCACCGTCATCCTCCCTCCCCTCCCTCCCACCCTCCCTCCCACCCCTCCCCCCCTCCCCTCCCTCGCATGGCTCACGGGTGAAGGGGGATGGGTGTGGATGGAGGAGCTGGGGGCTAAGTTTGGACGGCGCCTTTCACTCGCCATGGACGGAGCGGACGCTGGGAGCGTCGCTTCGGTGCCGGCTCACGCCGAGGGCTCTGCGGGCGGCCGGGGTTGACGGGCCAGGCGGGGAAGGGGTGGGGTGGAGCGTGGGACGCTCGCACGCCTGGCTACGCGCTGTTCGTAGAGCAAAAGACAAAGCTCCCCCAGGTAGCCTCTAGCAGGGCTGCAGGGGCAAGTGCTGCTAGTGGCGAGTAGCTCCACCTATGATGTACACACACAGACAAAGCTCCCCCAGGTAGCCTCTAGCAGGGCTGTAGGGGCAAGTGCTGTGAGTAGCGAGTAGCACCACCTATGATGTACACACACAGACAAAGCTCCCCCAGGTAGCCTCTAGCAGGGCTGTAGGGGCAAGTGCTGCTGTTAGCTACCACCACCTATGAAGGCTACCGGCACTGTGGCTACACACAGAGGGGGTGGGTGGCCAGCACCACGCCCGGCCGCCTTTGTCTCTCCCCAGTGGCGATGTTTACTGCACACCGCTACCCCAGGTACTCATTTGAGGCTGAGTCGACCTAGGGGAGGCCCAGGACCGGTTCAGATAATCGCTGTCACTGGCGGTGTTGGCCGTGAGCGGGAATCGAACTGGGGTGGCCGGGTTCGTAGCGCAGCGTCGCACTAACCACTCCCCAGACTTACACACACACACGCGCACGTACACACGCACACTCACGTACACACACACTCACGTACACACACTCACGTACACACGCATGCACACGCACGTACGCACAAACGCACGTACGCACACACACGCACGTACACACACGTACGTATCCACACACGCATGTACGCACACACAGGCATGTACGCGCACACACGAACGTACACACACACACGTACACACACTCACGTACACACACACTCACGCACACACGCGATGTGAACGTACACACACTCACGTACACACACACACTCACGTACACACACACGTACACACACACACTCACGTACACACGCGATGTGAACGTACACACACTCACGTACACACACTCACGTACACACACACTCACACACTCACGCACACACGCGATGTGAACGTACACACACTCACGTACACACACACACTCACGTACACACACACGTACACACACACACTCACGTACACACGCGATGTGAACGTACACACACTCACGTACACACACTCACGTACACACACACACTCACACACTCACGTACACACACGTACACACACACACGTACTCACACTCACGTACACACGCGATGTGAACGTACCTGACAGACGGCTATAAGAAAGTGATTTCGAGCCGTCGCGGCTGAATGGATGTGGAGCTGCTCACTGTCCACTTTGTTCTCCTGTCTGTTATACACCACACTGTACACTACACTGTACACTACACTATAATACACTATACACTACTACACTACACTATACACTACACTGTACACTACTATACTACACTATACACTACACTATACACTACTATACACTACACTATACACTACTATACACTACACTATACACTACACTATAAACTACTATACTACACTATAATACACTACTACACTACACTATATACTACTATACACTATACACTACTATACTATACACTACTACACTATATACTACTATACACTACTATACACTACACACTACACTATACACTACACACTATACACACTATAAACTACTATACACTATAAACTACTATACACTATACACTTCTATACACTACACACTATACTACACTATACTACACTATACACTACACGATGCACTACTATAAACTACACTATACACTACACTATATACTACACTCTACACACTGCACTATACTCTACACACTACACTATACACTACACTGTACACTACACTGTACACTACACTATACACTACACACTATACACTACACTACATGATACACTACACTATATACTACACTACTATACACTACACCATACACTACACTATATACTACACTACATGATGCACTACACTACACACCACTACACTACTACACACTATACACTACACTATATACTACACTATATCCTACACACTACACTATACACTACTATACTACACTATACACTACACTACTATACACTACTATACACTACACTATACACTACTATACACTACACACTACACTGTACACTACACTATACACTACACTACATGATATACTACACTATACACTACACTACATGATGCACTACACCATACACTCGTGCTGTGACTCGTCATGAACCGTCACGTGACACTGACCCTTCCTGATTGGCTGTGGTGGTGGAGGGTTTGCTACGTCACGACATTTGCACAAACTGCGACATGGATCGCCGATCCAGACGGCCTCTGGATTCGAAGGTCGCCATCGCTGCAGGTAAAGTCACGTGGCTAGAAATAATGAAATAAATCACGACCGCTCCTGCTGCGCCCGAAACGTCGAGATTTTTTTTATTTCATACCTACGTCACTTTGGGGGCCGTTCATAAATGACGTCACGCACTTAGTGGTGGGGTGGGGGTGTTTGAGGAATGACGTCACACCAAAATACGCAACTTTAAATAAATATAGACAACACGTTCTACTTAAATTTTGATTTAAAGCTTTCGTGACTGCAGTAATTCATATTCTTAGTTTTTTCGGTAAAGTCACGTTGAAGAGAAACAACAAAATAACAAAATATATATAAAAACAATAAAAATTCTCACGACGTTTCGACCATAACTCAAACGGTCATCATCAGGTGTGTCGGTTTGCAAACCGACACACCTGATCAGGTGTGCTGGTTCTGTCGGTAAAGTCGCCACGTGGAAGGGAAACAATAAAGTAATAAAATATATAAAACAATAAACAATTCTTGCCGTGGTTTTCACCACCTGATGATGATTGCTGCTTGTGTTGCAGTAGAAACGTGAGAATTTATTGTTTTTTATATTTGTATTATTTTATTGTTTTATATTTTATTGTTTCCCTTCAACGTGACTTTACCGAAAGATCTAAGACTATAGATGGACTCGTCCATCTGAATGACTGCCAAATCGCTCTCCGTGGTGCTAACGTTTAAAAATAAAAACGCCACTTTAAAAAAAAATTATTGCCGTGGTTTTCACCACCTGATGATGATTGCTGCTTGCGTTGCAGTAGAAACGCCGTGAGAATTTTATAGTTTTATATATTTTTATTATTTTATTGTTTTCCCCACCTGATGGTTTTCACCACCTGATGATGATTGCTGCTTGCGTTGCAGTAGAAACGCCGTGAGAATTTTATTGTTTTATATATTTTTATTATTTTATTGTTTTATATTTTTATTATTTTATTGTTTCCCTTCTACGTGGTGACTTTACCGATATAACCAACAATATAAAAAAGTATTTAATTAAGTAGAACGTGTCTATATTTAAAGTTGCGCATTTTGATGTGACGTCACATTTCTCAAACCCCCCTCGTCACACGTCACGTCACAAATGTCTGACCGCCCCCCCCCCGGTGCGTGACGTCATTTATGAACGGCCCCAAGGTTTCCTGTCTCCGCATGAGCCGCGTTCATTTAAAATAGCGCTTGGAGCGAGTGACGTCACGGCGTTGTGTTTCTTTGCCCGTTGTGACGTCACACGCCGTAAAGCCATAAAAGGCGATGGCGTCATTTGCACGTTTGGGGGGGTAGGTGACGCCATCATCGCAGATATGACGAGCCTGTCACATGCTCCCTTACCCAACCAGCGGGTGACGTCATCGGGACGGTTTCGACGGTGCGGGGACGTCAAATCTCCCCTTTGCGCAACAAGTGGGTGACGTCATCGCCGCGGGTTTCGACAGCGCGGTGACGTCACGTGTCCCTCCTTTACCCCAACCGTCACGGTTCGACGTCATAGGCCGCGGTTTCCGACGGCGCTGTGACGGAACGTCCCCCTCCACCTCCCTTACCCCACCGTTCACGGTTTGACGTCATGGATCGCGGTTTCCGACGGCGCGGTGGCGTCACGTCCCCCCCCTTTGCCCCCAATCGTCACGGTTTGACGTCATGGGCCGCGGTTTCCGACGGCGCTGTGACGTCACGTCCCCCCCTTTGCCCACCCAACCGTCACGGTTTGACGTCACCTCCGCCTCCACTGAACCCGGCCGTGTGAGCGCGCGCGCGTGCGAGCGCGAGCGACGTTTCTGTTTGGGAGGTTTTCTGTCGAGTCGACTTTGACTGAGACGAGGTTTTGTGTTTAAAGAGTTTCTCTCTACGACGAGGGCGACGTTTAAACCATGAACGCGCCGCCGGCATTCGAGTCGTTCCTGCTCTTTGACGGCGAGAAGAAGTGAGCGAAAGATGGATTTATATTTTTGCGCGCGCGTTTGCGGGTTTGCCCTCAACCTCGGCTAAGTGGGGGGGGAGGCCTGCCCCGGCTACCCCGTCCCGCCGACTGAGAGCGCGCGACTCCGGTAGCAAATCCAGGCGAGCGCCGAGGCTTGCGGGCCGCGACTAGGCCGCGGGCGTCGGGGTTAAATGTTTACGATTTAAGTTTTTTTTGTAAATCTTCATTTGAAGCTTTCGTGCCTGCAAGGAATCCATCCATACTCACCCATCCATACTCACCCATCCATACTCACCCATCCATACTCACCCATCCATACTCACCCTCATAATCGCTCAGCCATTTCAATGCTAAATTCGATGCTAATTCCTTTGTCAAGAGGTACCTCTGCGGATGTGTATACTTTAACTTAGCTATTTCAATGCTAAATTCGATGCTAATTCCTTTGTCAAGAGGTACCTCTGCGGATGTGTATACTTTAACTTAGCTATTTCAATGCTAAATTCGATGCTAATTCCTTTGTCAAGGGGTACCTCTGCGGATGTGTATACTTTAACTTAGCTATTTCCATGAGCCATTTCAATGCTAAATTCTATGCTAATTCCTTTGTCAAGGCGCTTGGTCTTTTTCTTCTCACACAGCTTAAAGGTCGCGATCTAAGCGTGGCTTCTCTCACTCCAGCGCTGTCCTCCAGACAGTCCGGTCCCTTCACCTGATGAAGGCCGCTTGTGTTGTGGCCGAAACGTCGTGTGATTTTTTGTTATTTTATTTTTTTCCACCAACGTGACTTTACCCAGTAGAAGCAAAGAGTGTGGGTTCTTTTGACTGCTTGTGTTGTGGTTATTGCAAACGTGATGCCTTGAATAAAGGTGTCAGTTTTGTGCCAGTTAAAAGGGTAAAAACCTATTCCTATAGTGTAGGTTCTCTTGGTAAAGCCACGTTTTCCTACCTACGTGACTCTACCGAAAGACCCGGTAGAATGTGTGTGTGTGTGTGTTTTATATAAAGTCGAATGATTTTTGCTCGAGTCGAAGGCGGTCAGCGTTCACTGCCCCGGGTCTCCTGCAGGCCAGGGGGTGGGTGGGGAGTTTCACACCGGCTCGCTGGTAGAGGCTGAGATGTTAACCACCTCGCCTGGTACGCAGGAGGTCGTGGAGTCCCATCCCTGACGCCTGCTGCTGCTGCTGGTTGTGTGAAGTCTGCGTCTCTTCTCCCGCTAGAGGCTACCTGGGGGAGCTTTGTCTGTGCATCATAGGTGGTGCTACTCGCCACTAGCAGCACTTGCCCCTGCAGCCCTGCTAGAGGCTACCTGGGGGAGCTTTGTCTGTGTGTGTGCATCATAGGTGGTGCTACTCGCCACTAGCAGCACTTGCCCCTGCAGCCCTGCTAGAGGCTACCTGGGGGAGCTTTGTCTGTGTGTGCATCATAGGTGGTGCTACTCGCCACTAGCAGCACTTGCCCCTGCAGCCCTGCTAGAGGCTACCTGGGGGACCTTTGTCTGTGTGCCAGGATCACCATCACCAAGGACACGAAGGTCCCCAACGCTTGCCTCTTCACCATCAACAAGGAGGACCACACCCTGGGAAACATCATCCGGGCGTGAGGGCCTCACACACACACAGGATGAGTCTCACACACACACAGGATGAGTCACACACACACAGGATGAGTCTCACACACACACAGGATGAGTCTCTCACACACACAGGATGAGTCTCACACACACACAGGATGAGTCACACACACACACAGGATGAGTCACACACACAGGATGAGTCTCACACACACACAGGATGAGTCCTCTCACACACACAGGATGTGTCCTCACACACACACAGGATGAGTCACACACACACAGGATGAGTCTCACACACACACACAGGATGAGTCTCACACACACACACAGGATGAGTCACACACACACACAGGATGAGTCTCACACACACACACAGGATGAGTCTCACACACACACAGGATGAGTCTCACACACACAGGATGAGTCTCACACACAGGATGAGTCTCACACACACACAGGATGAGTCTCACAAACAGGATGAGGCTCACACACACAGGATGAGTCTCACACACACACAGGATGAGTCTCACACACAGGATGAGTCTCACACACACACAGGATGAGTCTCACAAACAGGATGTAGGCTCACACACACAGGATGAGTCACACACCACACAGGATGAGTCTCACGTAGGCCTCACACACACACAGGATGAGTCTCACACACACAGGATGAGTCTCACACACACAGGCATGAGTCTCACAAACAGGATGAGTCTCACACACACAGGATGAGTCACACACACACAGGATGAGTCACACACACACACACAGGATGAGTCTCACACACACAGGAGAGTCACACACACACACACACAGGATGAGGCTCACACACAGGATGAGTCACACACACACAGGATGAGTCTCACACACACACACAGGATGAGTCGCACACACACACAGGATGAGTCACACACACACAGGATGAGTCCTCACACACACACAGGATGAGACTCACACACACAGGATGAGTCTCACACACACACAGGATGAGTCACACACACACAGGATGAGTCACACAAACAGGATGAGTCTCACACACACAGGATGAGTCTCACACACACACAGGATGAGTCACACATAGGATGAGTCTCACACACACACACAGGATGAGTCACACACACACAGGATGAGGCTCACACACACAGGATGAGTCACACACACACACAGGATGAGACACACACACACAGGATGAGTCACACACACACGGATGAGTCTCACACACAACAGGATGAGTCACACACACACAGGATGAGTCTCACACACACAGGATGAGTCTCACACACACAGGATGAGTCACACACACACACAGTATGAGTCTCACACACACAACAGGATGAGTCACACACACACAGGATGAGTCTCACACACACACACAGGATGAGTCTCACACACACACACAGGATGAGTCTCACACACAGGATGAGTCTCACACACACACACAGGATGAGTCACACACACACAGGATGAGGCTCACACACACAGGATGAGTCACACACACACACAGGATGAGTCACACACACACACAGGATGAGTCTCACACACACACAGGATGAGTCTCACACACACAGGATGAGTCACACACACACACAGGATGAGTCTCACACACACACAGGATGAGTCACACACACACAGGATGAGTCACACACACACACAGGATGAGTCTCACACACACACAGGATGAGTCTCACACACACACAGGATTGAGTCTCACACACACAGGATGAGTCACACACACACACAGAATGAGTCTCACACACACACAGGATGAGTCACACACACACAGAATGAGTCTCACACACACAGGATGAGTCACACACACACAGGATGAGTCTCACACACACAGGATGAGTCTACAAACAGGATGAGTCTCACACACACACAGGATGAGTCTCACACACACACACACAGGATGAGTCACACACACACACAGGATGAGTCACACACACACAGGATGAGTCACACACACACACAGGATGAGTCTCACACACACAGGATGAGTCTCACACACACAGGATGAGTCACACACACACAGGATGAGTCACACACACACACGGATGAGTCTCACACACACAGGATGAGTCTCACCACACACACAAGGATGAGTCACACACATACAGGATGAGTCTCACACACACACAGGATGAGTCTCACACACAGGATGAGCCTCACACACACAGGATGAGTCTCACACACACAACAGAATGAGTCTCACACACACACAGAATGAGTCTCACACACCAGGATGAGTCTCACACACACACAGGATGAGTCACACACACATGATGAGTCTCACACACACACAGAATGAGTCTCACACACACAGGATGAGTCTCACACACACACAGGATGAGTCACACACACACACAGGATGAGTCTCACACACACAGGATGAGTCTCACACACACACACAGGATGATCTCACACACACACAGGATGAGTCACACACACACAGGATGAGTCACACACACACAGGATGAGTCTCACACACACAGGATGAGTCACACACACACAGGATGAGTCACCCACACACAGGATGAGTCACACACACACAGGATGAGTCTCACACACACAGGATGAGTCTCACACACCACACACACAGGATGAGTCACACACACACAGGATGAGTCACACACACCACAGGATGAGTCTCACACACACAGGATGAGTCTCACACACACACAGGATGAGGCTCACACACACACAGGATGAGTCTCACACACACACACACAGGATGAGGCTCACGTAGGCCTCACACACACACAGGATGAGTCTCACACACACACACAGGATGAGTCACACACACACAGGATGAGTCTCACACACACACAGGATGAGTCTCACACACACAGGATAAGTCTCACTGTTTAAATTATCACTGGTGGCTCACAGAGCCCGACTGAGGCTCCCACAGGGTTCAGTGTTAATCAGTGAGACTCACAGAGCCAGACTAGGCTCCCACAGGGTTCAGTGTTAATCAGTGAGACTCACAGAGCCAGACTAAGGCTCCCACAGGTTCAGTGTTAATGACTGGTGGCTCACAGAGCCAGACTAAGGCTCCCACAGGGTTCAGTGTTAATCACTGAGACTCAGAGCCAGACTAAGACTCCCACAGGGTTCAGTGTTAATTCACTGAGACTCACAGAGCCAGACTAAGGCTCACACAGGGTTCAGTGTTAATCACTGAGACTCACAGAGCCAGACTAAGGCTCCCACAGGGTTCAGTGTTAATCACTGAGACTCACAGAGCCAGACTAAGACTCCCACAGAGTCCAGTGTTAATGACTGAGACTCAGAGCCAGACTAAGGCTCCCACAGGGTTCAGTGTTAATCACTGAGACTCACAGAGCCAGACTAAGGCTCCCACAGGGTTCAGTGTTAATGACTGAGACTCACAGAGCCAGACTAAGACTCCCACAGGGTCAGTGTTAGTCACTGAGACTCACAGAGCCAGACTAAGACTCCCACAGGGTTCAGTGTTAATCACTGAGACTCACAGAGCCAGACTAAGACTCCCACAGGGTTCAGTGTTAATCACTGAGACTCACAGAGCCAGACTAAGACTCCCACAAGCTCCAGTGTTAATCACTGAGACTCACAGAGCCAGACTAAGACTCCCACAGGGTTCAGTGTTAATCAGTGAGACTCACAGAGCCAGACTAAGACTCCCACAGGTTTCAGTGTTAATCACTGAGACTCACAGAGCTAGACTAAGGCTCCCACAGGGTTCAGTGTTAATCACTGAGACTCACAGAGCCAGACTAAGACTCCCACAGGGTTCAGTGTTAATCACTGAGACTCACAGAGCCAGACTAAGACTCCCACAGGGTTCAGTGTTAATCACTGAGACTCACAGAGCCAGACCAAGGCTCTGTGTAACCCACCGTGTCCCCCTACCCTACCAGGCAGCTCCTGAAGGACCCCCAGGTGCTGTTTGCAGGCTACAAGGTGCCTCACCCCCTGGAGCACAAGGTGGTGTGTGAGGGTGCAGACCACATCGGACTACAGCCCCCAGGAGGCCTTCACCAACGCAGTCACAGACCTCATATCAGAGGTGTCGCTGTTGGAGGAGAGGTTCAAGGTGAGCGGCTGGGTGGGTGAGGGGGTGAGTGGGTGAGGGGGTGGGTGAGTGAGTGGGTGGGTGGGTGAGGGGGTGAGTGGGTGAGGGGGTGGGTGAGTGAGGTGGGTGGGTGGGTGAGGGGGTGGGTGGGTGAGGGGGTGGGGGGGTGGGGGGGTGGGTGGGTGAGTGGGTGGGTGGTGAGTGGGTGGGTGGGTGGGTGAGGGGGTGGGTGGGTGAGTGGGTGGGTGAGGGGGTGGGTGAGTGGGTGAGGGGGTGGGTGAGTGAGGGGGTGGGTGGGTGAGTGGGGTGGGTGAGTGGGTGGGTGAGTGAGTGGTTGAGTGGGTGAGTGGGTGGGTGGGTGGGTGAGTGAGTGGGTTGAGTGGGTGAGTGGGTGGGTGGGTGAGGGGGTGAGTGGGTGGGTGAGGGGGTGAGTGGGTGGGTGACGGGGTGAGTGGGTGGGTTGATGGGGTGAGTGGGTGGGTGACGGGGTGAGTGGGTGGGTGAAGGGGTGAGTGGGTGGGTGAGGGGGTGAGTGGGTGGGTGAGGGGGTGAGTGGGTGGGTGAGTGGATGAGTGGATGGGTGAGAGGGTGAGTGGATGTGTGGGTGGGTGTGTGAGTGGGTGGGTGAGTGAGTGGGTGGGTGGGTGTGTGAGTGGGTGGGTGAGTGTGTGGGTGGGTGAGTGAGTGTGTGGGTGGGTGAGTGAGTGTGTGGGTGGGTGAGTGAGTGTGTGGGTGGGTGAGTGAGTGGGTGAGTGGGTGGGTGGGTGAGTGGGTGGGTGTTCATAATGAGTGGGTCTTGTTTTTAATAATCAACCCAAAACCTGCCCCTCTCCCCCACACCTATCCCCCTCCTCCCCCCCTCCTCCCCCCCACCTCTCCCTCCGCCCAGGTCGCAATGAAGGACCGCCAGGAGGGCAATGAATGAGTCGGAACCACGTCACGTGACCACCTAAGTCACGTGAACCACCTATGATGCACACCACAGACAAAGCTCCCCAGGTAGCCTCTAGCAGGGCTGCAGGGGCAAGTGCTGTTAGTGGCGAGTAGCACCACCTATGAAGGCTACCGGCACTGTGGCACACAGAGGGGAGAGGGGGTGGGTGGCCAGCACCACCACCACCACGCCCGGCCGCCCTTTGTCTCTCCCCCCCCCCAGTGGCGATGTTTACTGCACTCAGTTCGGGAATCGAACTTGGTCTTAGCCGGGTTCGTAGCGCAGCGTAGCTGTGACTACACACGCTACGTACACACACACACACGCTACACACACACGCTACACACACACGCTATACACGCTACACACACTACACACACACGTACACACACGTACACACACGCTACACACACACGCTACACATGCTACACACACGTACACATGCTACACACACACGCTACACACACACGCTACACACGCTACGTACACACACACACACACTACACACACTTACACACGCTACACACACACACGTACACACACACACACGCTACACACACTACACACGTACACACGCTACACACACACGCTACACACACGCTAACACACACTACAAACACACACACACACACGCTACACACACACATACACACACACACACACACACGCTACACACTACACACACATACATACACACACACGCTACACATACGCTACACACACGCTACACACTACACACACACGCTACACACACACACGCTACAACACCACACTACACACACACGCTACACACACACGCTACACACACACGCTACACACAGACGCTACACACACACGCTACACAACACACACTACACACACACGCTACACACACACTTATACAACCACTGCGTAAAGTAATAACAAAGGCAAGAATCCCCTGTATAGCCTGTAACAGAACTGTAGGGGCAAGTGCGGTGAGCTACCACCACCTACGAAGGCTACCGGCACTGTGGCACACACAGAGGGGGTGGGTGGCCAGCACCACCACCACGCCAGCCGCCGCCTTTGTCTCTCCCCAGTGGGCGGTGTTTCCACGGTGATAACACCTCCACAAGTACACACACACCCACCACACTACACACACACACGCTCCTTGTGTAAATAAAGTTTCTATGCCGTCACAACGATCTGTTTATTTACTTGTGTTTGAGACCGGGTCTCAGGGTCGGTGTCTAGAGAGCGGGTCTCAGAGTCAGTGTCTAGAGTTGAGACCGGGTCTCAGTGTCTAGAGTAGAGACGGGTCTCAGTGTCTAGGGTTAGAGACCGGGTCTCAGTGTCTAGAGTAGAGACCGGGTCTCAGTGTCTAGGGTAGAGACCGGGTCTCAGTGTCTAGAGTAGAGACCGGGTCTCAGTGTCTAGGGTAGAGACCGGGTCTCAGGGTCAGTGTCTAGAGTAGAGACCGGGTCCCAGTGTCTAGGGTAGAGACCGGGTCTCATGGTCTCAGTGTCTAGAGTAGAGACCGGGTCTCAGGGTCAGTGTCTAGAGTAGAGACCGGGTCTCAGTGTCAGTGTCTAGAGTAGAGACCGGGTCTCAGTGTCTAGAGTAGAGACTGGGTCTCTGTCTAGAGTAGAGACCGGGTCTCAGGGTCAGTGTCTAGAGTAGAGAGCGGGTCTCAGTGTCTAGAGTAGAGACCGGGTCTCAGTGTCTAGAGTAGAGACTGGGTCTCAGTGTCTAGAGTAGAGACCGGGTCTCAGGGTCAGTGTCTAGAGTAGAGAGCGGGTCTCAGTGTCTAGAGTAGAGACCGGGTCTCAGGGTCAGTGTCTAGAGTAGAGACCAGGTCTCAGGGTCTCAGTGTCTAGAGTAGAGACGGGTCTCATGGTCTCAGTGTCTAGAGTAGAGACCGGGTCTCAGGGTCAGTGTCTAGAGTAGAGACCGGGTCTCAGTGTCTAGAGTAGAGACCGGGTCTCAGTGCTAGAGTAGAGACTGGGTCTCTGTCTAGAGTAGAGACCGGGTCTCAGGGTCAGTGTCTAGAGTAGAGAGCGGGTCTCAGTGTCTAGAGTAGAGACCGGGTCTCAGTGTCTAGAGACTGGGTCTCAGTGTCTAGAGACTGGGTCTCAGTGTCTAGAGTAGAGACTGGGTCTCAGGTCAGTGTCTAGAGTAGAGAGCGGGTCTCAGTGTAGAGTAGAGACCGGGTCTCAGGGTCAGTGTCTAGTAGAGTAGAGACCAGGTCTCAGTGTCTAGAGTAGAGACGGGTCTCAGTGTCTAGAGTAGAGACCGAGACTCAGTGTCTAGAGAGAGACGGGTCTCAGTGTCTAGAGTAGAGACCGGGTCTCATGGTCTCAGTGTCTAGAGTAGAGACCGGGTCTCAGAGTCTCAGTGTCTAGAGTAGAGACCGGGTCTCAGGGTCGGTGTCTAGAGTAGAGACCGGGTCTCAGTGTCTAGAGTAGAGACCGGGTTTCAGGATCGGTGTCTAGAGCAGAGACCGGGTCTCAGGGTCTAGAGTAGAGACCAGGTCTCAGTGTCAGGGTCTAGAGTAGACCGGGAGTCAGGGTCAGTGTCTAGAGTAGAGACTGGGTCTCAGTGTCTAGAGTAGAGACCGGTCTCAGTGTCTAGAGTAGAGACCGGGTCTCAGGGTCGGTGTCTAGAGTAGAGACCGGGTCTCAGTGTCTAGAGTAGAGACCGGGTCTCAGGGTCTAGAGTAGAGACCAGGTCTCAGGGTCAGTATCTAGAGTAGAGACCGGGTCTCAGGGTCAGTGTCTAGAGTAGAGACTGGGTCTCAGTGTCAGTGTCTAGAGTAGAGACCGGGTCAGGGTCTCAGTGTCTAGAGTAGAGACCGGGTCTCAGGATCGGTGTCTAGAGTAGAGACCGGGTCTCAGTGTCTAGAGTAGAGACCGGGTCTCAGGCCTCAGTGTCTAGAGTAGAGACCGGGTCTCAGGGTCAGTGTCTAGAGTAGAGACCGGGTCTCAGCATCATCGTCATCGGCAAGGCGTGATTTGAATTCCGAGTTCAGTTCCGCGAGGTTGGGTAAATATTGATAGGAGCTAAAAGTAGATGTGAGTGGCGGAAACTCGGTTGGAACATCCACTCTAGAGATAAAGACAAAGCTCTTTCAGGTAGCCTCTAGCAGGGCTGTCGGGGCAAGTGCTGCTAGTAGCGAGTAGCACCACCTATGATGCACACACACAGACAAAGCTCCCCCAGGTAGCCTCCATCAGGGCTGCAGGGGCAAGTGCTGCTAGTAGCGAGTAGAAGCAGCAGCGCCTATGAAGGCTACCGGCACAGCGCCCACACAAAGATAAAGATTCCTAGAGAGATACAGGGTGGCCCAAAAGTCAGGACACATGAATACATTTCAAAGATAATTTTAATATAATTAAAATAAATACAACTCTTTGTGTCCTGACTTTTGGGCCACCCTGTATCACAACAACAACCCCGATGTGTCCTGACTTTTGGGCCACCCTGTATCACAACAACAACAACCCCAATGTGTCCTGACTTTGGGCCACCCTGTATCACAACAAACAACAACAACCCCAATGTGTCTGACTTTTGGGCCACCCTGTACAACAACAACAACAACAACAACCCAATGTGTCCTGACTTCTGGGCCACCCTGTGTCACAACAACAACAACAACCCCAATGTGTCCTGACTTTGGGCCACCCTGTATCACAACAACAACAACAACCCCAATGTGTCCTGACTTTTGGGCCACCCTGTATCAAACAACAACAACAACCCAATGTGTCCTGACTTTTGGCCACCCTGTAACACAACAACACAACAACCCCAATGTGTCCTGACTTTTGGGCCACCCTGTATCACAACAACAACAACCCCAATGTGTCCTGACTTTGGGCCACCCTGTACAACAACAACAACAACCCCAATGTGTCCTGACTTCTGGGCCACCCTGTGTCACAACAACAACACAAAACCCCAATGTGTCCTGACTTTTGGGCCACCCTGTATCACAACAACAACAACAACCCCAATGTGTCCTGACTTTTGGGCCACCCTGTATCACAACAACAACCCCTATGTGTCCTGACTTTTGGGCCACCCTGTATCACAACAACAACAACAACCCAATGTGTCCTGACTTTTGGGCCACCCTGTAACACAACAACAAAACCCCAATGTGTCCTGACTTCTGGGCCACCCTGTGTCACAACAACAACAACCCCAATGTCCTGACTTCTGGGCCACCTTGTGTCACAACAACAACAACAACCCCTATGTGTCCTGACTTTTGGGCCACCCTGTGTCACAACCCCTATGTGTCCTGACTTTTGGGCCCCCCCACCGACGCGTTGTCAACGAGGGCGTAACGTGGGAAAGCCGGAAGCAGCTCTATCTCATTAGCATAGCTCCTCCCCCTCCTCACCCCCTGACCCCTCCCCTCCTCACCCCCTGATCCGTCTACACCCCTGACCCTCCTCACCCCTGACACGCCCCCTCCTCACCCCCTCCTCACCCCCTGACACGCCCCCTCCTCACCCCCTCCTCACCCCTGACACGCCCCTCCTCACCCCTGACACGCCCCCTCCTCACCTCCTCACCCCCTGACACGCCCCCTCCTCAACCCCCTCCTCACCCCCTGACACGCCCCTCCTCACCCTCTGACACGCCCCCTCCCCCCCCTGAACGCCCCCCCTCCTCCCCCCTGACACGCCCCCTCCTCACCCCTGACACGCCCCTCCTCACCCCCTGACACGCCCCCTCCTCACCCTGATACGCCCCCTTCCTCACCCCCTCCTCACCCCCTGACACGCCCCCTCCTCACCCCTGACACGCCCCTCCTCACCCCCTCCTCACCCCCTGACACGCCCCCTCCTCACCCCCTCCTCACCCCCTGACAGGCCCCCTCCTCACCCCCTCCTCACCCCCCTGACAGGCCCCCTCCTCACCCCCTGACACGCCCCCTCCTCACCCCTGACACGCCCCTCCTCACCCCCTCCTCACCCCCTGACACGCCCCCTCCTCACCCCCTCCTCACCCCTGACAGGCCCCCTCCTCACCCCCTCCTCACCCCCTGACACGCCCCCTCCTCACCCCCTCCTCACCCCCTGACACGCCCCTCCTCACCCCTGACACGCCCCCTCCTCACCCCCTCCTCATCCCCTGACACGCCCCTCCTCACCCCCCTCACCCCCCTGACAGGCCCCCTCCTCACCCCCTGACACGCCCCCTCCTCACCCCTGACACGCCCCCTCCTCACCCCCTCCTCACCCCCCTGACACGCCCCCATCCACACAGCACAGACACCCACAGAGAGACTTACAGAACGCTTCTCACCGCCACCACCACCACCACCTCATCATCACCACTCATCACCACCACCACCTCAGCGGCTCCACGTCGTCAGCCTGTGCGCCTCCACCATGAGGGACCGCCTGGAGGAGCTCCGTCAGAACAACGCCGTGAGTCGGGCGGGCGTCGCTAGGCCCCGAGCCTTCGGGGAGTCGGGGTGTGGGGGGGCCCTCGCCGCCTCGCCTAGCCGGCCCGCGGGGAAAGGCGCGCCCGGGTCGGTAGGGCCGCGCAGGCTGCGACCCGAGTCCTCGGTCTCTTTTCCTTGACGATTTATTTTTTTAAAACAAAATTTGTGTCGTTCGTTGTTGTTGCGTTCGTCGTTCGTCGTCAGTGAAGTCGACGTAGAGCTGCGGCGCGTTCGGCTTGCGGTGTTCGATGAGCGAGACGAGGAAGACGGCCACCACTGGTCTAGAGTGTGTTGGGGGCTTCCTGTATCGTCTGGGAGCGGTGGCGCAACGGTTAGCGCTGCGCTGCGCTGGGTCGCTCAGCCGAGTTCGATTCCCGCTCACGGCCACACCGCCGGTGAAGATTCTCTGAACCGGTCCCGGGCCTCCCCTAGGTCGACCCGGCCTAAATGAGTAGCTGGTGTAGCTGTGGTGTGGTGTGTTTACTTCGCCAGCTAGAGGCTACCTGGGGAGCTTTGTCTGTGTGTGTGCATCATAGGTGGTGCTACTCGCCACTATCAGCACTTGCCCCTACAGCCCTGCTAGAGGCTACCTGGGGGAGCTTTGTCTGTGTGCGGTGTTAATGTTTATAGGTATGGTTATGAGTCTCTGGGGGAGGCACGTGGTGTGGTGAGGAGTATCACGTGGTGAGGAACGGCGTGGTGAGGATCGGTGGTGAGGAGTAGATTCTTCTCCCTCACTACAGCCTGGCTTTGATGCCTGGGTCTGGGTGTCTCACCCCTCACTCACCCACTCGCTCACCCCTCACTCACCCACGCTCACCCACCACTCATCACCCCTCACTCACCCACTCGCTCACCCCTCACTCACTCACTCACCCACTCACTCACCCCTCACTCACCCACTCGCTCACCCCTCACTCACTCACTCACCCACTCGCTCACCCCTCACTCACCCACTCGCTCACCCCTCACTCACCCACTCACTCACCCACTCGCTCACCCCTCACTCACCCACTCACTCACCCCCTCACTCACCACTCGCTCACCCCTCACTCACCCAATCACCCCTCACTCACCCACTCGCTCACGTCTCACTCACCCACTCACTCACCCCCTCACTCACTCACTCACCCACTCGCTCACCCCTCACCTCACCCCCCTCGCTCACCCTCACCCGCTCGCACAATCACCCTCACTCACCCTCACTCACCCACTCACCCCTCACTCACCCCTCACCCACTCGCTCACCCCTCACTCACCCACTTGCACACTCACACACTCACCCCGCACACTCATCCACTCGCTCACCCCCTCACTCACCCCACTCACCCCTCACTCACCCCTCACCCACTCGCTCACCCCTCACTCATCCACTCGCTCACCCCCTCACCCACCCGCACACTCACTCACCCGCACACTCACTCACCCGCACACTCACTCACCCGCACACTCACTCACTCGCACACTCACCCACTCACTCACCCACTCACTCACCCACTCATCCACTCGCTCATCCACTCAAATCATTACTCACTCACCCACCTCCCGACTCACTCATTTACTCACCCACTCACTCATTCAACTCGCCATCTCTCTCAATCATTTACCCATGGACTCATCACACAGAGACCCATAGACTCACCACACAGAGACCCATAGACTCACCACACAGAGACCCATAGACTCACCACACAGAGACCCATGGACTCACCACACAGAGACCCATAGACCTCACCACACAGATACCCTAGACTCACCACACAGAGACCCATAAACTCACCACAAAGAGAGCCATAGACTCACACACAGAGACCCATAGACTTACACACAGAGACCCATAGACTCATCATACAGAGACCCATAGACTCACCACACAGAGACCCATAGACTCACCACACAGAGACCCATAGACTCACCACACAGAGACCCATAGACTCACCACACAGAGACACATAGACTCACTCACACAGACACCCATAGACTCACCACAAAGAGACCCACAGACTCACCCACACAGAGACCCACAGACTCACCACACAGAGACCCACAGACTCACCACACAGAGACCCACAGACTCACCACACAGAGATCCACAGACTCACCACACAGAGACCCACAGACTCATCACACAGAGACCCACAGACTCGCCACACAGAGACCCATAGACTCACCACACAGAGACCCACAGACTCACCACAAAGAGACCCACAGACTCACCACACAGAGACCCACAGATTCACCACACAGAGACCCACAGACTCACCACCACACAGAGACACACAGACTCACCACACAGAGACCCACAGACTCACCACACAGAGACCCACAGACTCACCACACAGAGACCCACAGACTCACCACACAGAGACCCACAGACTCACCACACAGAGACCCATAGTCTCATCACACAGGGACCCATAGACTCACCACACAGAGACCCACAGACTCACCACACAGAGACCAACAGACTCACCACACAGAGACCCACAGACTCACCACACAGAGACCCACAGACTCACCACACAGAGACCCACAGACTCACCACACAGAGACCCATAGTCTCATCACACAGAGACCCATAAACTCACCACAAAGAGACCCATAGACTCATCACGCAGAGACCCATAACTCACCACAAAGAGAGCCATATATTCATGTATAGTGTGTAGTGATTGTATAGTGTGTGGTGAGCGGTGGGTGAGTAGGAGTGGTGGGTCAGTGGGAGTGTGCAGTGGTGTGTAGTGGTGAGTAGTGGAGTCTAGTGGTGAGCAGTGGTGAGTAGTCGAGTGTAAGGGTGAGTGTGTGTTGGGTGAGTGGTGTGTAGTGTTGGGTGAGTGGTGGGTGAGTGTGTGGTGGGTGAGTGATGTTGAGTTTTGGGTGAGTGTGTGTGAGTAGTGTTGAATGGTGGTGAGTAGTGGTGAGTAGTGGTGAATGTTGGTGAGTGGTGGTGATTAGTGGTGAGTGGTGGTGGGTGAGTGGTGTTGAGTATTGGTGAGTAGTGGTGGGTAGTGGTGGTGAGTGGTGGTGAGTAGTGGTGGTGAGTGGTGGTGGTGAGTAGTGGTGAGTGGTGGTGAGTAGTAGTGGTGAGTGGTGTGAGTAGTGGTGATGAGTGGTGGTGAGTAGTGGAGGTGAATGGTGGTGGTGGGTGGTGAGTGGTGGTGAGTAGTGGTGGTGGTGAGTGGTGGTGAGTAGTAGTGGTGGTGAGTAGTGGTGGTGAGTAGTGGTGAGTGGTGGTTGTGAGTGGTGGTGAGTAGTAGTGGTGAGTAGTGGTGAGTGGTGGTGAGTAGTGGTGGTGGTGAGTAGTAGTGGTGGTGAGTAGTGGTGGTGAGTAGTGGTGAGTAGTGGTGAGTGGTGAGTGGTGGTTGTGAGTGGTAGTGGTGAATAGTGGTGAGTGGTGAGTGGTTGTGGGTGGTGGTGAGTAGTGGTGGTGGTGAGTAGTGGTGGTGGTGAGTAGTGGTGGTGAGTAGTGGTGGTGAGTAGTAGTGGTGGTGAGTGGTGGTGAGTTGTGGTGGTGAGTGGTGGTGGTGGTGAGTGGTGGTGAGTAGTGGTGAGTAGTGGTGGTGGTGAGTAGTGGTGGTGGTGAGTGGTGTTGAGTATTGGTGAGTAGTGGTGGTGGTGAGTGGTGGTGAGTAGTGGTGGTGAGTGGTGGTGAGTAGTGGTGAGTGGTGGTGATTAGTGGTGATTAGTGGTGCGTAGTGGTGAGTGGTGGTGGTGAGTGGTTGTGGGTGCTGGTGTGTAGTGGTGAGTAGTAGTGGTGAGTGGTGGTGGTGAGTGGTGGTGAGTAGTGGTGGTGAGTGGTGGTGGTGAGTAGTGGTGAGTGGTGGTGAGTGGTGGTGAGTGGTGGTGGTGAGTGGTGGTGAGTAGTGGTAGTGGTGAGTAGTGGTAGTGAGTGGTGGTGAGTAGTAGTGGTGAGTAGTAGTGATGAGTAGTCGTGAGTGGTGGTGAGTAGTGGTAGTGGTGAGTGGTGGTGAGTAGTAGTGGTGAGTGGTGGTGAGTAGTGGTGAGTAGTGGTAGTGGTGGTAGTGGTGAGTAGTGGTAGTGGTGTTGCTTGATATTAACTATGTTTCCCTATTTGTATTTTTAAATTATATCTTAAAGCTATTTTATATTCGATATTTATTTAATTTATATACTTCAGCCCCTTAGTGTTAGACTTTTAACCCTTATTATAGTAAGACTTGTTTAAAACTTATCTAAGATTTTAGATTCCTATATGTTGAAGTGTATCACCATCCTGCCAAAGTAATTCCGTGTCGGTGTGAACTTACATGGCGAATAAAACCCTTTCTGATTCTGATTCTGAGTAGTGGTGAGTGGTGGTGAGTAGTAGTGGTGAGTGGTGGTGAGTAGTGGTGAGTGGTAGTGAGTGGTGGTGAGTAGTGGTGGTGGTGGTGAGTGGTGGTGAGTGGTGGTGGTGAGTAGTGGTGAGTAGTAGTGGTGGTGGTGAGTAGTGGTGGTGAGTAGTGGTGAGTAGTAGTGGTCAGTAGTAGTGGTGAGTAGTGGTGAGTAGTAGTGGTGAGTGGTGGTGGTGGTGGTGAGTAGTGGTGAGTAGTAGTGGTGAGTAGTGGTGAGTAGTAGTGGTGGTGAGTGGTAGTAGTGGTGGTGAGTAGTGGTGGTGAGTGGTGGTGAGTGGTGGTGAGTAGTGGTGGTGAGTGGTGGTGAGTAGTAGTGGTGAGTAGTGGTGGTGGTGAGTGGTGGTGAGTAGTAGTGGTGAGTAGTGGTGGTGGTGAGTAGTGGTGAGTAGTAGTGGTGGTGAGTGGTGGTGAGTAGTAGTGGTGAGTAGTGGTGGTGAGTAGTGGTGGTGGTGAGTAGTGGTGAGGAATGGTGAGTAGTGGTGAGTAGTGGTGAGTAGTAGTGGTGGTGAGTGGTGGTGAGTAGTGGTGGTGAGTAGTGGTGAGTAGTAGTGGTGAGTGGTGGTGCGTGGTGGTGAGTAGTGGTGAGTAGTGGTGAGGAATGGTGAGTAGTGAGGAGTAGTGGTGAGTGGTGAGTAGGAGTAGTGGTGAGTGGTGAGTAGTAGTAGTGGTGAGTAGTGGTGGTGAGTAGTGGTGGTGGTGAGTAGTGGTGAGGAATGGTGAGTAGTGGTGAGTATGTGGTGAGTAGTAGTGGTGGTGAGTGTGTGGTGAGTAGTGGTGGTGAGTAGTGGTGAGTGGTGGTGCGTGGTGGTGGTGAGTAGTGGTGAGTAGTGGTGAGGAATGGTGAGTAGTGGTGAGTAGTGGTGGTGAGTGGTATTGAGTAGTGGTGAATGTTGTTTGTTTGCCGTGTGTGAGTATTAGTAGTGGTGAGTGGTGGTGAGTAGTGGTGAGTAGTAGTGGTGGTGAGTAGTGGTGAGTAGTAGTGGTGAGTAGTGGTGAGTAGTAGTAGTGGTGAGTTTTGGTGAGTAGTGGTGAGTAGTAGTAGTGGTGAGTAGTAGTAGTGGTGAGTAGTGGTGAGTATTGGTGAGTATTGGTGAGTAGTAGTGAGTAGTGGTGGTGAGTAGTGGTGGTGAGTAGTGGTGGTGAGTAGTGGTGGTGAGTATTGGTGAGTAGTGGTGAGTGTTGTTTGTTTGCCGTGTGCAGTTGGACGAGGTGGATGTTGGTGAGGACATGACCACCATGAGTCACGTAAACATCAGCATGGAGAGAGACTTCATGGACGAGTTCTTTAAGCAGGTGGACCACCATCACCACCCTCACCACCATCACCACCACCATCACCACCACCATCACCACCACCATCACCATCATCACCATCACCAACATCATCTCACCATCATCACCATCACTACCATCATCATCATCATCACCACCACCATCACCACCACCATCACCACCATCATCACCACCATCACCACCACCATCACCACCATCACTACCACCACCATCATCATCACCATCACCACCATCACCACCATCATCACCACCATCATCACCACCATCACCATCACCACCATCATCACCACCATCACCACCATCATCACCATCATCACCACCATCACCACCACCACTATCACCACCACCACCATCACCACCACCACCATCACCACCACCACCATCACCACCACCACCATCACCACCATCACCATCGCCACCACCATCACCACCACCATCATCATCATCACCACCATCACCACCACCCCGTGGTGACCCCCGTGGTGACCCCGTGGTGACCCCCCGTGACTCCCCGTGACCCCGTGGTGACCCCCCGTGCCCCCCCCTGGTGACACCCCGTGACCCCCCCGTGGTGACCCCCTGTGGTGACCCCCCGTGACCCCGTGGTGACCCCGTGACCCCGTGGTGACCCCCCGTGGTGACCCGTGGTGACCCCCCGTGGTGACCCCGTGGTGACCCCGTGATGACCCCGTGGTGACCCCCCGTGACCCCCATGACCCCCCGTGACCCCCCGTGGTGACCCCCGTGGTGAGGAGCAGGTGAGTGAGATTCGGGGCTCTGTGGAGCGAATCGCTCAGCTGGTGGAGGAGGTGAGGAAGACACACAGTGCCATCCTGTCAGCTCCCAACACAGACGACAGTGAGATTACTCACCACCACTCACCACCACTCACCACTCACCACAGTGCCATCCTGTCAGCTCCCAACACAGACGACAGTGAGATCACTCACCAATACTCACCACTCACCACCACTCACCACAGTGCCATCCTGTCAGCTCCCAACACAGACGACAGTGAGATTACTCACCACCACTCACCACCACTCACCACAGTGCCATCCTGTCAGCTCCCAACACGGACGACAGTGAGATCACTCACCACCACTCACCACCACTCACCACTCACCACAGTGCCATCCTGTCAGCTCCCAACACGGACGACAGTGAGATCACTCACCACCACTCACCACCACTCACCACTCACCACAGTGCCATCCTGTCAGCTCCCAACACGGACGACAGTGAGATCACTCACCACCACTCACCACCACTCACCACTCACCACAGTGCCATCCTGTCAGCTCCCAACACGGACGACAGTGAGATCACTCACCAATACTCACCACTCACCACCACTCACCACTCACCACAGTGCCATCCTGTCAGCTCCCAACACAGACGACAGTGAGATCACTCACCACTACTCACCACCACCACTCACCACTCACCACAGTGCCATCCTGTCAGCTCCCAACACAGACGACAGTGAGATCACTCACCACCACTACTCACCACCACTCACCACTCACCACAGTGCCATCCTGTCAGCTCCCAACACGGACGACAGTGAGATCACTCACCAATACTCACCACTACTCACCACTCACCACCACTCACCACTCACCACTACTCACCACCACTCACCACTCACCACAGTGCCATCCTGTCAGCTCCCAACACAGACGACAGTGAGATCACTCACCACCACTCACCACCACTCACCACCACTCACCACAGTGCCATCCTGTCAGCTCCCAACACGGACGACAGTGAGATCACTCACCAATACTCACCACTACTCACCACTACTCACCACCACTCACCACTCACCACCACTCACCACTCACCACAGTGCCATCCTGTCAGCTCCCAACACAGACGACAGTGAGATCACTCACCACCACTCACCACCACTCACCACTCACCACCACTCACCACTCACCACCACTCACCACTCACCACAGTGCCATCCTGTCAGCTCCCAACACAGATGACAGTGAGATCACTCACCACCACTCACCACTCACCACCACTCACCACAGTGCCATCCTGTCAGCTCCCAACACAGACGACAGTGAGATCACTCACCACTACTCACCACCACTCACCACTACTCACCACTACTCACCACTCACCACCACTCACCACAGTGCCATCCTGTCAGCTCCCAACACAGACGACAGTGAGATTACTCACCACCACTACTCACCACCACTCACCACTCACCACCACTCACCACTCACCACCACTCACCACTCACCACAGTGCCATCCTGTCAGCTCCCAACACAGATGACAGTGAGATCACTCACCACCACTACTCACCACCACTCACCACTCACCACCACTCACCACCACTCACCACTCACCACCACTCACCACAGTGCCATCCTGTCAGCTCCCAACACAGACGACAGTGAGATCACTCACCACCACTACTCACCACCACTCACCACTCACCACCACTCACCACCACTCACCACACTCACCACTCACCACAGTGCCATCCTGTCAGCTCCCAACACAGACGACAGTGAGATCACTCACCACTACTCACCACCACTCACCACTACTCACCACTACTCACCACTCACCACCACTCACCACAGTGCCATCCTGTCAGCTCCCAACACAGACGACAGTGAGATTACTCACCACCACTACTCACCACCACTCACCACTCACCACCACTCACCACTCACCACCACTCACCACTCACCACAGTGCCATCCTGTCAGCTCCCAACACAGATGACAGTGAGATCACTCACCACCACTCACCACTCACCACCACTCACCACAGTGCCATCCTGTCAGCTCCCAACACAGACGACAGTGAGATCACTCACCACTACTCACCACCACTCACCACTACTCACCACTACTCACACGCACCACCACTCACCACAGTGCCATCCTGTCAGCTCCCAACACAGACGACAGTGAGATTACTCACCACCACTACTCACCACCACTCACCACTACTCACCACCACTCACCACAGTGCCATCCTGTCAGCTCCCAACACAGATGACAGTGAGATCACTCACCACCACTCACCACTCACCACCACTCACCACAGTGCCATCCTGTCAGCTCCCAACACAGACGACAGTGAGATCACTCACCACCACTACTCACCACCACTCACCACTCACCACCACTCACCACCACTCACCACACTCACCACTCACCACAGTGCCATCCTGTCAGCTCCCAACACAGACGACAGTGAGATCACTCACCACCACTACTCACCACTCACCACTCACCACAGCTCCATCCTGTCAGCTCCCAACACAGACGACAGTGAGATCACTCACCACCACTACTCACCACCACTCACCACAGTGCCATCCTGTCAGCTCCCAACACAGACGACAGTGAGATCACTCACCACCACTCACCACTCACCACCACTCACCACCACTCACCACAGTGCCATCCTGTCAGCTCCCAACACAGACGACAGTGAGATCACTCACCAATACTCACCACTCACCACCACTCACCACTCACCACCACTCACCACAGTGCCATCCTGTCAGCTCCCAACACAGACGACAGTGAGATCACTCACCAATACTCACCACCACTCACCACCACTCACCACAGTGCCATCCTGTCAGCTCCCAACACGGATGACAGTGAGATCACTCACCACTACTCACCACTCACCACTACTCACCACTACTCACCACTCACCACAGTGCCATCCTGTCAGCTCCCAACACAGACGACAGTGAGATTACTCACCACTACTCACCACTCACCACTCACCACCACTCACCACTACTCACCACTCACCACAGTGCCATCCTGTCAGCTCCCAACACAGACGACAGTGAGATCACTCACCAATACTCACCACTCACCACTCACCACCACTCACCACTCACCACCACTCACCACTCACCACAGTGCCATCCTGTCAGCTCCCAACACAGACGACAGTGAGATCACTCACCAATACTCACCACTCACCACTCACCACCACTCACCACTCACCACCACTCACCACTCACCACAGTGCCATCCTGTCAGCTCCCAACACAGACGACAGTGAGATTACTCACCACCACTACTCACCACCACTCACCACTCACCACCACTCACCACTCACCACAGTGCCATCCTGTCAGCTCCCAACACAGACGACAGTGAGATCACTCACCAATACTCACCACTCACCACTCACCACCACTCACCACTCACCACCACTCACCACTCACCACAGTGCCATCCTGTCAGCTCCCAACACAGACGACAGTGAGATTACTCACCACCACTACTCACCACCACTCACCACTCACCACCACTCACCACTCACCACAGTGCCATCCTGTCAGCTCCCAACACAGACGACAGTGAGATCACTCACCAATACTCACCACTCACCACTCACCACCACTCACCACTCACCACCCACTCACCACTCACCACAGTGCCATCCTGTCAGCTCCCAACACAGACGACAGTGAGATTACTCACCACCACTACTCACCACCACTCACCACTCACCACCACTCACCACTCACCACAGTGCCATCCTGTCAGCTCCCAACACAGACGACAGTGAGATTACTCACCAAGACTCACCACTCACCACTACTCACCACTACTCACCACTCACCACAGTGCCATCCTGTCAGCTCCCAACACAGACGACAGTGAGATTACTCACCACCACTACTCACCACCACTCACCACTCACCACCACTCACCACTCACCACCACTCACCACTCACCACAGTGCCATCCTGTCAGCTCCCAACACAGACGACAGTGAGATTACTCACCAATACTCACCACTCACCACTACTCACCACTACTCACCACTCACCACAGTGCCATCCTGTCAGCTCCCAACACAGACGACAGTGAGATTACTCACCAATACTCACCACTCACCACTACTCACCACCACTCACCACAGTGCCATCCTGTCAGCTCCCAACACAGACGACAGTGAGATCACTCACCACCACTCACCACTCACCACCACTACTCACCACCACTCACCACTCACCACCACTCACCACTCACCACAGTGCCATCCTGTCAGCTCCAACACAGACGACAGTGAGATCACTCACCACCACTCACCACCACTCACCACTCACCACCACTCACCACTCACCACAGTGCCATCCTGTCCAGCTCCCCAACACAGACGACAGTGAGATTACTCACCAATACTCACCACTCACCACTACTCACCACTCACCACAGTGCCATCCTGTCAGCTCCCAACACAGACGACAGTGAGATTACTCACCAATACTCACCACTCACCACTACTCACCACCACTCACCACAGTGCCATCCTGTCAGCTCCCAACACAGACGACAGTGAGATCACTCACCACCACTCACCACTCACCACCACTACTCACCACCACTCACCACTCACCACCACTCACCACTCACCACAGTGCCATCCTGTCAGCTCCCAACACAGACGACAGTGAGATCACTCACCACCACTCACCACCACTCACCACTCACCACCACTCACCACTCACCACAGTGCCATCCTGTCAGCTCCCAACACAGACGACAGTGAGATTACTCACCACCACTACTCACCACCACTCACCACTCACCACCACTCACCACTCACCACAGTGCCATCCTGTCAGCTCCCAACACAGACGACAGTGAGATTACTCACCAATACTCACCACTCACCACTACTCACCACTACTCACCACTCACCACAGTGCCATCCTGTCAGCTCCCAACACAGACGACAGTGAGATTACTCACCACCACTACTCACCACCACTCACCACTCACCACCACTCACCACTCACCACCACTCACCACTCACCCCAGTGCCATCCTGTCAGCTCCCAACACAGACGACAGTGAGATTACTCACCAATACTCACCACTCACCACTACTCACCACTACTCACCACTCACCACAGTGCCATCCTGTCAGCTCCCAACACAGACGACAGTGAGATTACTCACCAATACTCACCACTCACCACTACTCACCACCACTCACCACAGTGCCATCCTGTCAGCTCCCAACACAGGACGACAGTGAGATCACTCACCACCACTCACCACTCACCACCACTACTCACCACCACTCACCACTCACCACCACTCACCACTCACCACAGTGCCATCCTGTCAGCTCCCAACACAGACGACAGTGAGATCACTCACCACCACTCACCACTCACCACCACTCACCACTCACCACAGTGCCATCCTGTCAGCTCCCAACACAGACGACAGTGAGATCACTCACCACCACTCACCACCACTCACCACTCACCACCACTCACCACTCACCACCACTCACCACTCACCACCACTCACCACTCACCACAGTGCCATCCTGTCAGCTCCCAACACAGACGACAGTGAGATCACTCACCACCACTCACCACCACTCACCACTCACCACCACTCACCACTCACCACCACTCACCACTCACCACCACTCACCACTCACCACAGTGCCATCCTGTCAGCTCCCAACACAGACGACAGTGAGATCACTCACCACCAACTCACCACCACTCACCACTCACCACCACTCACCACTCACCACCACTCACCACTCACCACCACTCACCACTCACCACAGTGCCATCCTGTCAGCTCCCAACACAGACGACAGTGAGATCACTCACCACCACTACTCACCACCACTCACCACTCACCACCACTCAACCCACTCACCACCACTCACCACTCACCACAGTGCCATCCTGTCAGCTCCCAACACAGACGACAGTGAGATCACTCACCACTACTACTCACCACCACTCACCACTCACCACCACTCACCACTCACCACCACTCACCACAGTGCCATCCTGTCAGCTCCCAACACAGACGACAGTGAGATCACTCACCACCACTACTCACCACCACTCACCACTCACCACCACTCACCACTCACCACCACTCACCACAGTGCCATCCTGTCAGCTCCCAACACAGACGACAGTGAGATCACTCACCACTACTACTCACCACCACTCACCACCACTCACCACAGTGCCATCCTGTCAGCTCCCAACACAGACGACAGTGAGATCACTCACCACCACTCACCACTCACCACTACTCACCACCACTCACCACAGTGCCATCCTGTCAGCTCCCAACACAGACGACAGTGAGATTACTCACCACCACTACTCACCACCACTCACCACTCACCACCACTCACCACTCACCACCACTCACCACTCACCACCACTCACCACTCACCACAGTGCCATCCTGTCAGCTCCCAACACAGACGACAGTGAGATCACTCACCACCACTCACCACCACTCACCACTCACCACCACTCACCACTCACCACCACTCACCACTCACCACTACTCACCACCACTCACCACTCACCACAGTGCCATCCTGTCAGCTCCCAACACAGACGACAGTGAGATCACTCACCACCACTACTCACCACCACTCACCACTCACCACCACTCACCACTCACCACCACTCACCACCACTCACCACAGTGCCATCCTGTCAGCTCCCAACACAGACGACAGTGAGATTACTCACTCACCACCACTCACCACCACTCACCACTCACCACCACTCACCACTCACCACCACTCACCACTCACCACCACTCACCACTCACCACAGTGCCATCCTGTCAGCTCCCAACACAGACGACAGTGAGATCACTCACCACCACTCACCACCACTCACCACTCACCACCACTCACCACTCACCACCACTCACCACTCACCACCACTCACCACTCACCACAGTGCCATCCTGTCAGCTCCCAACACAGACGACAGTGAGATCACTCACCACCACTACTCACCACCACTCACCACTCACCACCACTCACCACTCACCACCACTCACCACTCACCACAGTGCCATCCTGTCAGCTCCCAACACAGACGACAGTGAGATCACTCACCACTACTACTCACCACCACTCACCACTCACCACCACTCACCACTCACCACCACTCACCACAGTGCCATCCTGTCAGCTCCCAACACAGACGACAGTGAGATCACTCACCACCACTACTCACCACCACTCACCACTCACCACCACTCACCACTCACCACCACTCACCACAGTGCCATCCTGTCAGCTCCCAACACAGACGACAGTGAGATCACTCACCACTACTACTCACCACCACTCACCACCACTCACCACAGTGCCATCCTGTCAGCTCCCAACACAGACGACAGTGAGATCACTCACCACCACTCACCACTCACCACTACTCACCACCGCTCACCACTCACCACAGTGCCATCCTGTCAGCTCCCAACACAGACGACAGTGAGATCACTCACCACCACTACTCACCACCACTCACCACTCACCACCACTCACCACTCACCACCACTCACCACCACTCACCACAGTGCCATCCTGTCAGCTCCCAACACAGACGACAGTGAGATTACTCACCACCACTACTCACCACCACTCACCACTCACCACCACTCACCACTCACCACCACTCACCACTCACCACAGTGCCATCCTGTCAGCTCCCAACACAGACGACAGTGAGATCACTCACCACCACTACTCACCACCACTCACCACTCACCACCACTCACCACTCACCACCACTCACCACTCACCACAGTGCCATCCTGTCAGCTCCCAACACAGACGACAGTGAGATCACTCACCACCACTACTCACCACCACTCACCACTCACCACCACTCACCACTCACCACCACTCACCACTCACCACAGTGCCATCCTGTCAGCTCCCAACACAGACGACAGTGAGATTACTCACCACCACTACTCACCACCACTCACCACTCACCACCACTCACCACTCACCACCACTCACCACAGTGCCATCCTGTCAGCTCCCAACACAGACGACAGTGAGATCACTCACCACCACTACTCACCACTCACCACCACTCACCACTCACCACCACTCACCACTCACCACCACTCACCACAGTGCCATCCTGTCAGCTCCCAACACAGACGACAGTGAGATCACTCACCACCACTACTCACCACCACTCACCACTCACCACCACTCACCACTCACCACCACTCACCACAGTGCCATCCTGTCAGCTCCCAACACAGATGACAGTGAGATCACTCACCAATACTCACCACTCACCACTACTCACCACTACTCACCACTCACCACAGCGCCATCCTGTCAGCTCCCAACACAGACGACAGTGAGATTACTCACCACTACTCACCACTACTCACCACTCACCACAGTGCCATCCTGTCAGCTCCCAACACAGACGACAGTGAGATTACTCACCACCACTACTCACCACCACTCACCACTCACCACCACTCACCACTCACCACCACTCACCACCACTCACCACAGCTCCATCCTGTCAGCTCCCAACACGGATGACAGTGAGATCACTCACCACCACTCACCACTCACCACAGCTCCATCCTGTCAGCTCCCAACACAGACGACAGTGAGATCACTCACCACTACTACTCACCACCACTCACCACTCACCACCACTCACCACCACTCACCACTCACCACCACTCACCACAGTGCCATCCTGTCAGCTCCCAACACAGACGACAGTGAGATTACTCACCACCACTACTCACCACCACTCACCACCACTCACCACTCACCACCACTCACCACTCACCACAGTGCCATCCTGTCAGCTCCCAACACAGATGACAGTGAGATCACTCACCACTACTACTCACCACTCACCACTACTCACCACCACTCACCACTCACCACAGTGCCATCCTGTCAGCTCCCAACACAGACGACAGTGAGATTACTCACCACCACTACTCACCACCACTCACCACTCACCACCACTCACCACTCACCACCACTCACCACAGTGCCATCCTGTCAGCTCCCAACACGGATGACAGTGAGATCACTCACCACCACTACTCACCACTCACCACAGCTCCATCCTGTCAGCTCCCAACACGGATGACAGTGAGATCACTCACCACTACTCACCACTACTCACCACTCACCACACTCACCACACTCACCACTACTCACCACTACTACTCACCACTACTCACCACCACTCACCACCACTCACCACTACTCACCACCACTCACCACCACTCACCACAGCTCCATCCTGTCAGCTCCCAACACGGATGACAGTGAGATCACTCACCACTACTCACCACTACTCACCACTCACCACACTCACCACACTCACCACTACTCACCACTACTACTCACCACTACTCACCACCACTCACCACCACTCACCACTACTCACCACCACTCACCACCACTCACCACAGCTCCATCCTGTCAGCTCCCAACACGGATGACAGTGAGATCACTCACCACTACTCACCACTACTCACCACTCACCACACTCACCACACTCACCACTACTCACCACTACTCACCACTACTCACCACCACTCACCACCACTCACCACTACTACTCACCACCACTCACCACCACTCACCACAGCTCCATCCTGTCAGCTCCCAACACGGATGACAGTGAGATCACTCACCACTACTCACCACTACTCACCACTCACCACACTCACCACTACTCACCACTACTACTCACCACTACTCACCACCACTCACCACCACTCACCACTACTACTCACCACTACTCACCACTACTCACCACCACTCACCACTACTCACCACTACTACTCACCACTACTCAACACCACTCACCACCACTCACCACTACTACTCACCACTCACCACTACTCACCACTCACCACTCACCACTACTCACCGCTACTCACCACTCACCACGCTCACCACTCACCACTACTCACCACCACTCTCCACGCTCACCATTACTCACCACTCACCACCACCACCACTCACCACCACAACCCCGCTCACCACTACTCACCACTCGTCACCACCACTCACCACTACTCACCACTCACCACGCTCACCACTCACCACCACTCACCACCACTCATCACCACTCACCACATTCACCACCACTCACCACTATTCACCACTCACCACTACTCACCACTCACCACCACACTCACCACATTCACCACCACTCACCACTACTCACCACCACCACCACTCACCACTACTCACCACCACCACTCACCACTCACCACCACTCACCACTTACCACTACTCACCACTACTCACCACTCACCACCACTCACCACCACTCACCACCACCCACCACATTCACCACCACTCACCACTACTCACCACCACTCACCACTACTACACTCACCACCACCACTCACCACTCACCATCACCACTCACCATCACTCACCATCACTCACCACCACTCATCACTCACCACCACTCACCACCACTAACCACTCACCACCACTCACCACTACTCACTACCACCACTCACCACCACTCACCACTACTCACCACCACCACTCACCACTACTCACCACCACCACTCACCACTACTCACTACCACTACTCACCACCACTCACCACTACTCACCACCACCACTCACCACCACTCACCACCACCACACTCACCACGCTCACCACTCACCACTCACCGCCACACTCACCACCACTCACCACCACACTCACCACCACCACTCACCGCCACACACCACCACTCACCACCACTCACCACCACCACTCACCACCACTACTTACCACCACACACCATCACTCACCACCACCACTCACCACCACTCACCACCACTACTTACCACCACACACCACCACTCACCACCACTCACCACCACCACTCACCACGCTCTCCACCACCACTCACCACCACCCACCACCACCACGCTCACCACCACCACCATCACGCTCACCACCACCACGCTCACCACCACCACGCTCACCACTCACCACCACCACACTCACCACCACCACTCAACACCACGCTCACCACCACCACGCTCACCACCACCACGCTCATCACTCACCACCACCACACTCACCACCACCACTCAACACCACGCTCACCACCACCACGCTCACCACCACCACGCTCACCACCACCACGCTCACCACCACCACTCACCACTACACTCACCACCAGCCTCACCACTATACTCACCTATACACCCATGATGATGTTGCTGATGATGTTGTTGCTGATGTTGTTGCTGATGATGTTGTCGATGATGTTGCTGATGATGATGTTATTGATGTTGATGAAGTTGTTGATGATGATGATGTTGTTGATGAAGTTGTTGATGATGATGATGTTGTTGATGATGATGATGTTGTTGCTGATGATGTTGTTGCTGAAGATGTTGTTGCTGATGATGTTGTTGCTCCTGATGATGATGATGTTGTTGATGATGATGTTGTTGATGTTGATGAAGTTGTTGATGATGATGTTGTTGATGATGATGTTGTTGTTGATGTTGTTGATGTTGATGATGATGTTGATGATGATGTTGATGATGATGATGTTGTTGATGATGATGATGTTGTTGATGATGATGTTGTTGATGTTGATGAAGTTGTTGTTGATGATGTTGTTGATGTTGATGAAGTTGTTGTTGATGATGATGTTGATGATGATGATGTTGTTGTTGATGATGATGATGTTGTTGTTGATGATGTTGATGATGATGATGTTGTTGATGATGATGTTGTTGTTGATGATGATGATGTTGTTGTGGATGATGATGTTGTTGATGATGATGTTGTTGTTGATGATGATGATGATGTTGTTGTTGTTGTTGATGATGTTGTTGATGATGATGATGTTGTTGTTGATGATGATGATGTTGTTGTGGATGATGATGTTGTTGATGATGATGATGTTGTTGTTGATGATGATGATGTTGTTGTTGTTGATGATGATGATGTTGTTGATGATGATGATGTTGTTGTTGATTCTGAAGAGGTGAAGATGGAACTGGAACAGACGATGGCTGAAATTAAGCGATTAGCAAACGGGGTCCGCTCAAAACTCAAGAGTGAGCGCTCACCACTCACTCACCACTTACTCACCACTCACTCACCACTCACTCACTCACCACTTACTCACCACTCACTCACTCACTCACCACTTACTCACCACTCACTCACCACTCACTCACCACTCACTCACCACTCACTCACCCACCCACTCACCCACTCACCCACCCACCCACTCACCTACCCACCCACCCACTCACCCACCCACTCACCCACCCACTCACCCACTCACCCACCCACTCTCCCACCCACCCACACACCCACCCACCCACCCACTCACCCTCTCACTCACCCACCCACCCACCGACCCTCCCACCCACCCACTCACCCACCCACTCACCCACTCACCCACCCACCCACCCACTCTCCCACCCACCCACACACCCACCCACCCACTCACCCACTCACCCACCCACTCACCCACCCACCGACCCTCCCACCCACCCACTCACCCACCCACTAACCCACCCACTAACCCAATCACCCACTCACTCACCCACCCACTAACCCACCCACTAACCCACCCACTAACCCACTCACCCACCCACCCACTCACCCACCCACTAACCCACTAACCCACCCACTAACCCACTCACCCACCCACCCACTCACCCACCCACTAACCCACTAACCCACCCACTCACCCACCCACCCACCGTCTGCTTCCTGTGCAGCCATGGATCAGAGGATTGAACTGGACAGTGGCGATCATAATGCAGCCGACTTGAGGATTCAGAAAACCCAGGTGAGTGGTGAGCGTTGGGGTGAGTGGTGAGCGTTGGGGTGAGTGGTGAGCGTTGGGGTGAGTGGTGAGCGTTGGGGTGAGTGGTGAGCGTTGGGGTGAGTGGTGAGCGTTGGGGTGAGTGGTGAGCGTTGGGGTGAGTGGTGAGCGTTGGGGTGAGTGGTGAGCGTTGGGGTGAGTGGTGAGCGTTGGGGTGAGTGGTGAGCGTTGGGGTGAGTGGTGAGCGTTGGGGTGAGTGGTGAGCGTTGGGGTGAGTGGTGAGCGTTGGGGTGAGTGGTGAGCGTTGGGGTGAGTGGTGAGCGTTGGGGTGAGTGGTGAGCGTTGGGGTGAGTGGTGAGCGTTGGGGTGAGTGGTGAGCGTTGGGGTGAGTGGTGAGCGTTGGGGTGAGTGGTGAGCGTTGGGGTGAGTGGTGAGCGTTGGGGTGAGTGGTGAGCGTTGGGGTGAGTGGTGAGCGTTGGGGTGAGTGGTGAGCGTTGGGGTGAGTGGTGAGCGTTGGGGTGAGTGGTGAGCGTTGGGGTGAGTGGTGAGCGTTGGGGTGAGTGGTGAGCGTTGGGGTGAGTGGTGAGCGTTGGGGTGAGTGGTGAGCGTTGGGGTGAGCTGGTGAGCGTTGGGGTGAGTGGTGAGCGTTGGGGTGAGTGGTGAGCGTTGGGGTGAGTGGTGAGCGTTGGGGTGAGTGGTGAGCGTTGGGGTGAGTGGTGAGCGTTGGGGTGAGTGGTGAGCGTTGGGGTGAGTGGTGAGCGTTGGGGTGAGTGGTGAGCGTTGGGGTGAGTGGTGAGCGTTGGGGTGAGTGGTGAGCGTTGGGGTGAGTGGTGAGCGTTGGGGTGAGTGGTGAGCGTTGGGGTGAGTGGTGAGCGGTGGGGTGAGTGGTGAGCGTTGGGGTGAGTGGTGAGCGTTGGGGTGAGTGGTGAGCGTTGGGGTGAGCGGTGAGCGTTGGGGTGAGCGGTGAGCGTTGGGGTGAGTGGTGAGCGTTGGGGTGAGTGGTGAGCGTTGGGGTGAGCGGTGAGCGTTGGGGTGAGCGG